ACTGCTAGTGCAGTGTACTTCCAATTTTGGCAAAAATTTAAAGTTTGCAGTAGTTTGTTTTGTTTCAAAAGTTTTTTTGACATGAATCACAACCGGCAGGGCCAATTACCAAAATAAAAAAGGTCAATGTCGTGTAAAGAAAAGTAAGACAATGGTAGTGTTAGAGATATGGTAGCTCCATCTGGTTAGAAATGGAGGAATAATTATCAATTTTATCAGAGTAAGATAAAGTCTTTTCAATCATTAGTCTCAGAAATATCATCAGATATGATCGATGATGTGGGGAAATTGTGAATGAAAACAAGTACTAGTTTGGGCTTCCAACTGTAAGATGAATAATTAAAGAAATAAATTATTAGCCAGTAAAAATCACTTTCATTTATCATTTCAACTGCACAACAAAATCGTATACACTCTTTCTAACCTGTTAAATTAAAAGAGTTGTGTGACAATTTGATGGACTGAACAAACTATTTTCAAAAACCTTTTCTTTTCAGGAATAAGACTAAATGAGGTCAGAATAAACTAATGTGGAGGGGTTTGTTGATCTCTTTATGAAAATGGATGATTTACATCTATCAGATTTTAGAGAAATGAGACTTATGTGAAAAGGGGACTTTGACATTGCATATTCTGCAGTAATGGGCATTGGCTTGGATGTCTATTTGCAGAAATTAATAGTTTTCAAGCCAGGGGTTTGGCTGTGCTAATTTTAAGGCAGAAAAATCATAAATCAGTCACTTAAGAAATTTTATAGCTCTGACTGGAAGCTCAAACACTCTTAAGGAACAGGACAATATTTCGCCTGATCACTCCTCATATTCTTTTCCCATGAAATTTGGACAAAACTTTAAAAAAACTTTATTGGTAATTTTATAGTTGCAAAAAAGGTATAGACACAAGTTGCATATGGCATAAGCTAGTTGAAGATTGATCATTTATACCAGTAGTAAGCTTCTGGTACTAATGACATTCTCTTGAATGCCAGGTTGTCACAGCAAATGTCACACCTATCCTTTCTGTCAATAGTACCAACCATATGTAGTGGGGTCACTTCACGTCTCCCTAAAAAACAGAGAACATAATATTTAATTCCAATCATCAGTCTCAATTAAGAAATAAAAATTGAAGGATCAAGACTTATCTGGCAAAGTGAAATGCAAGTCCAACTGGTTTGAAGAAATTTTAACCCGACATTCGTGCCAGTAAACTCCACGAGTATCCACAGAGTTAGAAATGGTGGTAAACTTGTCATACTCTTTCATCCCTCTCCAAAAAATATCACAGAAATTAGAAAGGTGTCGATCGCTCAGTTGAAAACCTGCAGAAGCGCGCTGAAAATATCAAAATGGCGCCGAACGCGCCGAACAAATTTTCTTGACGAATGCGCAACAAAATAGAACTCAAAGTGGGGCGGGGACGTGGAGACTCCAGGACGTAGGGACTCCAGGACGTAGCGACTCCGGGACGTAGCGACTCCGGGACGTAGGGACTCCGGGACGTAGGGACTCCGGGACGTAGGGACTCCGGGACGTAGGGACTCCGGGACGTAGGGACTCCGGGACGTAGGGACTCCGGGACGTAGGGACTCGGGACGTAGGGACTCAGGACGTAGGGACTCAGGACGTAGGGACTCCAGGACGTAGGGACTCCAGGACGTAGGGACTCAGGACGTAGGGACTCAGGACGTAGGGACTCAGGACGTAGGGACTCAGGACGTAGGGACTCCAGGACATAGGGACTCCAGGACGTAGGGACTCAGGACGTGGGGGACTCCAGGACGTAGGGACTCAGGACGTAGGGACTCAGGACGTAGGGACTCCAGGACGTAGGGACTCAGGACGTAGGGACTCAGGACGTATGGGGACTCCAGGACGTAGGGACTCCAGGACGTAGGGACTCAGGACATGGGACTCAGGGGTAGGGACTCCGGGACGTAGGGACTCCGGGACGTAGGGACTCCGGGACGTAGGACTCGTGGACGTAGGACTCGTGGACGTAGGACTCGGGACATGAGACTCGGTGACACGGGACGCGGGGACTTGGAGACGTAGGACTCGGGGACGTTTCTGCTTGGAGCATTCCCAAAGAGTCCTCAAAAGAGTCACAATATTGTGGTCATTGTGCAACCGAAAAATAATAAGAACCATGGGAAATTTGATAATGACAATCTCTTTCGCTGGCTAGCACCAGCACGTTCATGAGATGATTTTTGGAGAGGCAGAAAACTTCTGTGAAAAAAGTGGTCATTTATCGATCAATCTTCTTTTAGTAGTTACTGTATTCGACCGCATGCAAAAAGTTGAATACAGTCTGACTCTCACGCAAGTTAACATGTTTATGATGAAGAATGCTAGATCCTTTGGATTTACCATATTTCTTATATTTGAAATGTAGAAGTAATGGTTTTGAGTTTTTTTTTTTTCCAAAAACCACTTACACCAAGTAAATCCAGAAACAAAATCACGGTGTGGGTGTGTTGATAATATTTCTTAGGGTGATGCAGTGTTTGTTCTATTTTGTTTGCAGTGTTTCTGTATTCAGAACTCCCCATGTCTCCCTCAATGAACAAAATCTACCAAAGAAATCAAATTTCTCTTTGTTCCGAAATTACTTCTCTTCAAAATTTTTCACATTTTTCTAAGTAAAAGACTACAAGTAAGAGACTACCATCCTACCATCACTTTAAGCTTTAAGGCAAATCTTCTTAATGCAATTAAACTCTTGTTGACTTACCATTAGCAGTGTCATGGAACATTCCAGTGCTATTCCATTGCTCCGTTTCGCCTGAGGAAAAAAAAAGATAATAAAATGTGACTATTCATTCTTAAATCTCAGTAAACCAATGCCAATTTGCTGTTTTATGAGTGGGAAAGTGCATTTTATAGCCCATTATATGGGCAGTGAGTCATTCAGTTGTCAGGCTTGATAAGCAGATGAAAGATGGCTAAACTACCCTAGAGGGCACAGATTTTGCAGACCATTCATTTGGCTTCTGCCATGGAAATGTGATAAACAGTTGACCATTGCAAATTTTGTGTGAAAAGTTCATCCTGAAGCAACTATTCCTGTTCTGAGTGAAGTGAGGTGAGAAAAGGATGGTATCTTCCATCTGACTCATCTGAAACATAAACCCCAAAGCACACAGTTTTTTTCACCTATTGCTAGAATTAGCAAACAGATGGGAAAATCCCACCAAAGCACTTCTGGATAAAATTTTTCGAGCCTTCAGTGACAGATAGGAAATGCTGTGTAAGCTCCGTAGATTTTGACCGTGCAAGATATGGTTACTAACTTATGTGAAATGTTCTTTAAGAATTACACAAGTCATAGTGTCAGTACAATGCCCATGTAGTCTCAAGAAAAGAATAAAGTTAAAACCAATTATAGGAAAGCTTCCATCCTTTCTCAGATCTTGAAAACTCTTGGGGAAAGATAGCAGTATAACTTCCCAATTATTTGAACTTGGATAAGATAAGGCTGAAGTAGAATTTTGTGAACGGGTAAATTGAACAAAGTATCTTTGTTTAACCCAGGCCACCCTACCCGCAGCAGTTTTGTCATTCAGTCCCAGTTCTCTACTGCTTTTTTCACTGTCTATTTGTTATCACAATCGACGGCTAGTCGACGGAAGAACTAGACAGCCGAAATGAGAAACTCGCGACTTGATAGCTAAGAAAATTAAATGGCACTGTTCCTTGATTGCCTTATTGTGTTAAAATATTGGGCAAAGCCACCGTATCCTTCTAGATCTCATCAACAAAACCATCCAAGACCCTTCGACATTTCTTTCGAAAACGAATAGGTAGTAAACTAAATGCTTAATTAATAATGAAAACGAGACATGATAAAGAAATATTTCTACCAAAATTAAATTTCGGCAATGTCGGTTGAACTTCTTCTTAGTAACAATTAATTGTCTGTCAAGCAAGCGTCTGAGGAAGAAAAAGACCTGTTTAACAGAATTACCGAAGAATTAGAAAATAAATGAGAAGAATCGAAAGCACGATGCATTATTTTCCGCGTCTGGACTGAATGGATCAAACACGTCGTGTTCTGGGTGGCTATCCGAAGATCTGTATATGATCACGACTCAGCAATTTTCCCTAAAGTCAACCCTATAGGGCCCACTGCTCCCTTCGGTGGGAGCAGAGGAGTCCGAAAAAGCGTTCGGTAGGCGTCAAACGATAACGCCAAACGTTAACGCCAAAGAAACATACGCTTGAGATAATAACTTACTTCATGGACTTCCTCGGAAGAATTGGCCAGGCTTAGCTTCCTTCTCTACCCACTCACTCCATGGATGGAGAATATACATTTTGGCACTGCCAAGTCCACTAAATTGCGCACTCAGGTGTAACAAGGTGTAAAAATGTGGCATACATAGCCCCTCGGACATAAATTTGCGCTTTGTCTACCTGTGCATGATGAAAAGTTCGTCATAGGTATGCGATCAATAACGCGGGCTCAAACGCACAATTAGAGTAATTGTGTAGCCGTACCCTCCCCTGCCAAGGTGAACCAAGGGGTTCCCTCGGTTCCGTTTCACCATCGGGGGAGGGTACATGTCTACACGTAGGCTAAGTAAAAAGGGATTGAAGTTTAAACCGGGGTATTTTGTTGTCGTTGAAGGCATTTTCTTGGCCTCCGTAAGGGGACTATGGGTGGACAAAGGGAGGGAATACAATGGAGTAAATAATTGCTCCTATAACATATATACATTTTATTATTAGTGTTTATGTATTTAATATTTTATTGTATTTATGTTTATGCGATGCGTAGTAGAAGTAGAAGTACTCACCAAACAACGCTCCATTTTGTTGTTAGAGACGAACAACGCCTCCCTTTGTCGTTAGGAACGAACAGCGCTTTTAGAGTCGTTAAACCGGGCATCTCTGTGTACGATCAAGACAAATGGAGAGGTCGAAGTTTTTGCCGGCTGCGAAAGAGAGGAAGGTAGTGTGGATGGGAAAGTACAGGATTGCCAGTTTCGACAACCGATGGGCATCTGCACGGAGTCTGAAAGGGTCATTTACACCTGTGATGCCCAGACAAATTCCATCAAGATTTGCACTAAAATGGTCGAGTACGCCAAATTTCTCAACTCCGTTGGTCAGCTTTTTGACACCTTTTCCATCCATTGTAAAGGAACAGGTTACTCTGTTAAGTCTGCAGATGAAGCGCTCTCCCTTGTCCGCCAGTGTAAAGAGCTACTAGAGAGGAACACCAACGAGATCCGAATGAGTACTGGCATTACAAGCGCTATTAATGGACCTCAGGGTCATGTTTCCGCCAGGACCGTGGTCTCAGTTGCACTTCTTGAATGGGGGCTGCAGAGATTGTACAGCAATTTGCAACCATTTAATTAAAGTTCAACTAATTTCTTGAGTTGTATGACACTGGACGTAAAGAATTTCCATTCCACTGTTCATATCAGGCAGGTGAACATGTCCATGATGGAGTATGCTAGATCCTTTGAACTTACCATGAAAGAATCAGTTAAGAGGGTGACACAATGGGCCGCGTTTTATCATGAAAGTAGGAAGTCATGGTACCCAAAACCAAAGGAGACAATGCCATTCTCTAAAGTCCCTTTGATAAAGCCACTTCCTATCGTTGATATGTTTAAAGCAAATTGCGATATTATGCGGAATTGGGCGTCGGCGTATGGAGCAGCAGTGCGACAGCGGACAGTGCGCCAAGAGACGACCATGGCAAAGCATGGGATTCTCCCTGAGTTTATATGCCAATCGTAGCTGTTGTTAAGCCAATGAATGACAGCGGACCGCCCGGTTCTTTATGAGATGAAGCACAACCAGTTGACATCATAGTTGCCCACATCGATAAACAAACGATAAACTTAGCTGCTAGTGTTAGTCACCACGATGACCAACTGTATAACTTTTTTTAGGAAATATAAAATGGATTTGAAACAAAAATACTAGACAAAGAAAGTCGTGACATCAAAGGAAGCAAACTGTGAACTTTACTTTTTGTGGGAGTATATTCTAACTTCAGAGGACGCAGGATCGACCTAACGGAGACACTGGCGTATCACTTGGCAGCGGTAACTTCTTTGGCTCATCTTAGTGTCGCCTACACTTCATTTATAATGAAGCGACAGCAAGGAATTTTACATGCGGAGAATGCGGTAGGATTGTGTTTCTTGTGTTTGAAAATATTAATTTATATTAATAAATATTTATTTTGTTTGCGGTGTTGCGGTATTCAGAACCCCCCATGTCCCCCTCATTCTGCTGTTGGAGCGAATATGTCTTCCGAAGTGGGAACCTCTTCCGAGGTAAAAATCAGCCTCTCGTTCCAAAGATGGAATGTCATCATCACTCGGGGAATCATACTCCAATATTCCATCTTCCTCTTCGGCGTCTTGTTCCCGCTATTTTCTTGCTGCTCCACGAAGTCAGAGCGTTCGAGGCAGACAGGTTCGACTGGCTGAATTTCTCTCTGATAGAGATACGACGGGAAGTTCCAACTCTTGCCACCGTTGTTTCCTGTCTGACAGAGAGCTGATGCACTGCTGCAACAAATGTTTACGCCCAGTCCCCCATCTTCTGTGTGCTCTATGGTGCCATCGGCACAGGTGGTAACGGTTGACTATTGTCCGGGTACAGGATACGAAGTATTTGGATCTGTTAGATAGTATACCGCCCAGTGGGTTTCCTCATTAAGCCCTCTTAGGTTACATTTCCAAAGTTCCTTGGGTAGTCTAACATCGTGAAAAGTTTATCCTTGTGATGCACAACCGAGTGAATATTCTTCACATCTTGTGTTAAGTAACTCAACTGGTTAAGGGCATCATAACGGTGTAATTTTGAGACTTGCTGGAGGTTTTTCGAGGCCATTAAGCATTTTAATTGACGTAGCAGTCAATCTCAAGCGCGTAAAATAGACAGCAATAAGGAGCTCACCATTCCTCACTTGCGACTTGGCCACGCAATACGATAATCCTTTCTTCGAGATTTTTCCTTTCTTCACTATAGTTGCCAACGTGTCTTCATAGTTTTCTACGTCACAACGATGTAGCTTGCAAGTTTTGACCGCGCGCTTAACGAGGACACTTTCTGGTCGCCAAATCGTACTTTCAATGCGCAGAAAAATGGTCAAGGAGAACTCGCTAGGCGCTAAGGTGGATTATTTGTAATTTTAAACACAGCTATCAACAAAAATATGCAAAAAAGTTAGAGTCATAGGACCACAAAATTGTTACATCCCCTTGTGTTCTTGTTGTGAACTGCTGAACGTTTAACAAAATATTTACCTAAATAATCTGGAGTTAAGCCATTTACACATTTGAATGCTAAAATTAAGTCATTAAATACCTCCGTAACATTTAACCATCTAAGAGATCTCCGTCCCTAAGAGATATGGTCAAACTCCCTAAACCTAATACAACTCTGGAAGCAAAATTTTTTACAACTGCAGTTTGTGTAGATTATGTTTAGATATGTTCCCCCACACAGAGGAACAATAAAACAGTTTACTGAAAACAAAGTCTAAAAAGGTGTTGAATTTTACTTATCTGTACCTACTGGTTCATGCAACATATATATATACATATATACTTATGTATATATGTACATATATAAAGAGGTCAATATATACCCCGAGATGCTCTAGTTAGCAAACGAAACGGGTAGTTTTGCCTAACAGGGATAAGGAGATATAAGGTAGCCTATTAATAAGTTGTGCTGAACCAACAACCACTAATTCACTAATTTTGTCTTCTCGGGGTTTATAAGTAGAGTATTCTTTGCACACCATTGACTGATGTTCCTAAGATCTTGGTTTATGGCTGCCATAGCACTTGATGAGCCTGACACAGAAAATTTAAAGTGCAATTGACTATCATCAACATACGCAGCAGGTTGACTGTGTGTAATGACACTGTTTAAATGATTAATCTAAATGGCTAGTACAAAGCACAAGACCCTAGATTGATCCATGAAGTACTCCATTTGTTAAGGGTAACAATTCCTAGACTGAATCTTTGCATTGTACTCTTTGATATCTTCTGGATGGGTAGCTACTAAACCAGGAAGTTACAGAAGTTTTGAGGCCCAGTTCTTGTAATTTTTCTAACAATAGATTATGATTAAGGCTACTGAAAGCTTTTGTTATATCAAGCAGTACCAGTAACGAAGCTGATTTTTCATCAATTTCTCTCAAAGTATTGTCTATAACGTTTATGAGGGCAGTTTCTGTCAAATGCATTTTCTTGTTGCTACTTTGATAAGTCGACAGTTTACCATGCTATGTATAGCAGTCCTTACAGTACTAGCTAGTGTACCTTAAGTTAAGGTATTGAATAATTTCTCAATCCTATCTAATTCAGAAAAAACATATGCACTTAACCCTTTAACTCCCATGAGTGACCAAGACAGAATTTCTCCTTACAATATCAATACAATGTCAATCAGATAAGTGATGAGAATAAAGAAAAATATCAATTTGGGGATGATTAGTTGATCCAATACTAAACTCTCTGAACTAACATTATGAGAATATTATGATAATGACAAATTTGATCTGGGAGTTAAAGGGTTAAGGCAAGATGAAGAAGGTGCTCTATGTTGATACATTTCTTCTAAACAAAGGATTCCATAGTAATTTTTTTACTGTTTTCAGACACCGGTGGCACAGCAGTCTTTGTGGCATTGATTTTTTTTTTCCCCTTTCTTTTGTGGTGACAACAGCAACATAATAAGACTATTATTAGGACTAAAACTACAAACACAGTAGGAACAGCAATGATAGCCACATTTATGTTACTTGTGCCTAAAAATAAGAAATGACATAAAATAAAAAATTAGTTACACGTTAATGGGATTGTTTGCAGGATTAATTAATCACTTTAGACAATAAATAAAAATAAAGGGAGAAATTAAGGTCCACTGGAATGTCACCCCCAGAATTTTATCAGTAAGAGATTATTCCATTACAGTCGAGCCTTGATTATCCAGACCCGTGGGGACCTGGATGTACAATCAAGAGTCCAGACAATTGAAAATATAAATATTGATGAGCCAAAAACAAAACTGAGCACATGTCATTTCAATCATTGTCCATCATTGCTAACATCTGCCAAAAGCATTTTCATAAAGTTATTAACAAGAGCCTACCTACAAAATGTTGCGACCTAAAATTTTGATGCAAATTAGTTTGTTTCAAGTTGCTACTGACAGTGTTTGCATGTTGCTAATTCTATCAGTCTTTAAAGACCCATTAATTAAATAGCATCAACATTGCTTCATTACAGTATGTTCTATTTGATGGGAAAAAGTTGTTTTCATATTAAGAAAAAAGAGGCCAGTCCCAGGTAAATGAAATTGCAAATTGCAAATTGCCCAAAAACACAACACAATGACTAACAAGGCCTCAAACCCAGACCTCTCAACCTAGAGTTCAGCATAATGAACCACTGATAGGCCACCCTGCCTCCCACATGTTTCTCATGAGTCATTATTTAAAATTCTTGGGTTGACAATTTCCCAATCAACAATTTTCACCACCCTTCTGTCTAAGTTAGTGTTGTAAAACTAATGAAAACCTGGAATGCATTCACTGACTGTATAATCTCTCTTACTATTCAGAGGTTGTGATGAAGATGAAATCCACTTAAGATAATTTTATCATACCTGTAGCTGGTGGCCTAACAGTGTTTTGAACACTCGAAGAGGAACCAGCTACTGTAGTGCTTACTGGGAATGGAACCACTGCAAGGAAAAAAAAACAACATTCACAAAAAAAAATTTCACTGACATGGAAAATAATGAACCCTCTAAGCCGGATAATTCTTGTCATACAGGTAATGAAAATTAAGTATGCAAAACTTCTTACTTAGCTTCATTATGGAAATAACTTTCAATAACCAAAAATAAACTTCAAGTTTACAGAGGAGAACCCAACAGAACCTCTTAATTTAAAAGGTACTAATAGCAGGTGTTTAATTTAACCTAATGACTAGATTAATTTTACAATAAAAAAAACACTGAGTGAGGTAGGCCTCACTAAAAGTGTTGCTTCTGTTAAACAAGAGAAAAGAAATTGATCAGGATAAAATAGTGTTAATTCTTACGGTTTCAGAGTAATATGCAGATGTTCATACAACAGATAACAAAGAGGACTTAATACCTTAAAGAGTAACCCCTAACAATCCTGTCAACTACACTAACTCTATCATTCTTTGAAGCTGCACTAATTTACAGAATAGAGTCAAACTGTTTCAGTACAACTGCTTTGTTTGATGGGAAAAAGTGGTTACATATCTCCAAGTGACCATTAAATATTGAAAAAAAAAAAAAAAATGGGACCATGAGAACCAAGTCTGGATTATTTAGTACACAGATAATCAAGGTTCAAATATATTTCTATTACACTTTAATTCCTTTCTTATGTACTAAGCATTTCTAATTATTTTAACAAGTATTTTTTTCCCATTGTTAATAAGTACCCTCTAGAGGTACCCATCTCCTCCCTGATTTCTTGGAATTAAGAGCTCACTTTTTCCTCATAGCTAACTTATTTACTATAATTAAACAAATTATTTAAAATACTGGATTCAAGGAAAAAAGGAAAAATACAAATTAAAGTTTTGCAACTCTCATTTCCTTACCAGGCTATAATTTGTTTGCCATGAGAATTAAAGTTACCAGTATGTCATTACCCCCTGTTTAAATTTGTGAGGAGAGCCCAATCCATATATTGATCACTCCTGCTGGTAAGCAATGATTCTGCTAAAAACAATTTTAGCATACCTGAGATTGGTGTCCTAACTGTATTGGGAGCAACTGCTGATACAGTACTTAACAATACCGGGGAAGGTATGATGACTGTGAGAAAAATCAAACAAAATTAAGAGCTAACTTTTTCCTCAAAGAAAACTTATTTACTATAATTATTTAATATATAATAAGCTCAGTTATCCACGCATTCTGATTGGTTCTCACTTATGATCTATTGGAGGACAGACGTATAGATGACATTGTCATTAAAACTTTTTTAACACATTTTGATGTCCTCTGTGATCTATTACAGAACAGACACACAGCAACTTGGAATCTATTTGTTAAATGAATCATTTAAAAATACTGGAGTTGAGGAAAATAAGAAAAATACAATAGTTTCCTGACTCTCATTTCCTTACCATTTTGTAATTTGTTTGTCATGAGAATTAAAGTTACCAGTATGTCATAACCCCCTGTTTAAATTTGTCAGGAGAGCCAAATCCATATATTGATCACTCCTCCTGGCAAGCAATGATTATGCTAAAAATATTATAAGCACACCTGAGATTGGTGTCCTAACAGTATTGTGGGCAACTTCTGATACAGTACTTAAAAATACTGGGGAAAGTATGATAACTGTGAGGAAAATCAAACAAACAAGCAAATAATAAACAAACAGTTTTGGTGGAAAAGTGGCAAGATTTTGCACGTTATGAGACACAAGTAATCCAAAGTAACTTATTTTGGGAAGCAGACATATCTGCTTTTAGACACTCAACCTTTTCCATGTTCCCATCTGACAATACTTTGCACTTGATTATTGAGATTTTCAAGAGAAAAAGCAGAGGTGAAAAAGAATTATTTAAAAATACTGCTGTCAAGGAGAATAAGAAAAATACAAAAGTTTACTGACTCTCATTTCCTTACCAGGCTTCAATTTGTTTGTCATCATTGAGTTACCAGTACATTATTAACCCCAATTCAGAATTGTGAGGATAGCCCGTATAATGATCACCCTTGATATTAAATGCATTTTGTGACAAAAAAAATTTAGCATACCTGAGATTGGTGTCCTAACAGTACTGTGAGCAACTGTTGATACATTAGAGAACATTACCGGAGAAGGCACAATAACTGCAAGAAAAATCAGACAAACAAGCAAATAGTCAACAAACTCACTTTTGGTGGGGAAGTGTCAAGATTTTGTATATTATGATATGCAAGTTATCCAAACTAACCTATTTTGGGAAGCAGTATCTGCTTCCTGACACTCGACCCTTTTTATGTTCCTAACTATCAATACTTTGTACTTGATTATCAACAATTTCCAGGGAAAAAGCCGATTAGATTAGTATATAGGTAACAACATGATTTCAAGTGCAATTTGGTGTTAACAAGCACAGGTAAATTTTTCATGACAACAAAATTGTGCAAACCCACAGGGCAAGGAAATTCAGTCTTTGGAAAATTAACTTGTGCATATTAACACCAAATTGCACTCAAATTATATTGTTAATTGTTAATAATTTACATGAAAAACTCATCCCAGAAAGTCACATGGACAAATTTTGGAATGCATGCTATTAATTTGCACTTGTCTAACAACTTTGCACTTATCTTACAACTTTGCACCTATGTTACATAAACAATGCACCAGTTTTCAGCCAATCAATTATGCATAATTTTTTACGTATATTATAACTGAAGAAATTAGTTATTATTGGGTGCAAAACTTGGGACTGAGCTTACTAAATAAAGAACACAACTAAACAAAACAAAATCTCACCTGACTTTGTGTAAAAAATCAAATATAGTTGCTCATTTTGATGATCATGTTTGCCATGAGAAGTGACAACAAGAACAATCTTTCTTATCACAAATGACTGCCGGTAAAGTGTTGAATAAGACAGAGCAATTTTAAAAATTGATCTAACTTTAAACCGATTTGTGGTAGAATCTTTGGTAAGTACAGAGGACAGGGTTACATTGGCTGTCTCTAACTTGAATTTGCGCACCATCTGCGCTTTTGCTGAGGCTTGAGTGGTGCCAGAAGTATTCACAGGCTGAGAAATGAGGCGACCACCAAGATCATCATCAGTGAAGACAAACACCATGACATTTCCAACCGACACAGTGCCATTTGGGAGAGTGATGTTAGTTGTCAAGGTCAAGTCACTTTGGTCTTCAGATAAACTGATATTTTCAGTTGGCAAAGTAATACTGCCATCTGGGTTCAGCACAGCCTCCCCTAAAAGTATAAGTATAAACATGGTTAAATTCTTCACTTCAGTTGATGTATAATGCCGATTAATTCAACAAATCAGGAGATCACAATTAGAGGTATACTGTTTATTGCTATGAAGAACAACTTACATTGTGGGATTGCAGTGATCTCAAACATTATAGTATAGGATGTTTGCAGTTTGAAACTAATTTCTGGTTTTGCAGTTTATTGATTAACCCTTTTAAAAACTAGTTTTGATAACCCATGGTTAATTATTGTAAACACTGAATATTGTCAAACAAAATAAGCAATGCATCCGAGTTAATCTTTAATAAACATTTAGCTGATTGACCCCAGGCTGTGTTTGTTTATAGTTTACTTGACCTCTGGACCTCTACCACATGCACTTTTGGTCAGCCAAAGACCAGCGTGCAGTAACAATGACTGAAACTCATCAAGACACAAATAACTAAATGCATTACCCTTTACTTTGAGGAGGGAACAGGTGGTTAGAACTACCACAAGAAGTGTAAATTTAGATACTGAGTCAAGAGAAATGAAAAGAGCCTTTCAAAGCTAAAAGAAACCATTTGATGAATTTGTAAACACACTAGCTTTCTTTTACCCTTATAACTTATGTTTGAAATGTAGGAGTAATGGTTTTGAGTTTTTTTTTCAAAAACCACTTAGACCAGGTAAATCCAGAGACTAAGGCAAAATTGTGGTGTGGCTGTGTTGATAATATTTCTTGTGGTGATGCAGTGTTAGTTCTATTTGGTGGCAGTATTACCGTATTTAGAACCCCCCCCCCATGTCTCCCTCAATGTACAAAATCTACCAAAGATATCAGATTTCTCTTTTGCTAAAAGTAAGAGACTACCAACATACCATCAGTTAAGTTTTAAGCCAAAAGTTATTAATGCAGTTAAAATCTTACAGTTTCTTGTCGACTCACCATTGGCTGTGTCATTGAACATTCCAGTTTTATTCCATTGATCCGTTGCTACTGAGGAAAAAAGTTCATAAAATGCGATTCTCAGTAAACCAATGCCAGTTTGCAGTTTCATGAGGCTAAACTGACTTTTAATCAGTGGAAAAGCCCATGACATCTGGTAACATTTCAGTAGTTCTGCATCAAATAATTAATCGCCATACAGTGTATCTTCAGATGGAAAGTGAGTCATTCAGTTGTCAGGCTTGATAGGCAGATGAAAGATGGCTAAACTACCCTAAAGGGTTTTCTTACCTATAGCTGGAACCAGCAAACATAAGGAAAAATCCCACCAAAGCATTTCAAGATAAACTTTTCCTAACCTTCAGTCACAGATAGCAATTGTTGTTTAAGAATTACTTATATAATTAAGGAGGCTCCGTAAATTTTGACCGCGCGAGATGTGGGTATGAACTGACGTGAAATATTGGTTGAGAATTGCATGAGTCATAGTGTCTACAATGACCCACATAGTCTTGTGAGCTCCAGAAAAGAATAAAGTTAAAAACTGATCATAGAAAAGCTTCCATCCTTTCTTGGATCTCAAAAACTCTTAGGGAAAGATAGCAGTATACCTTCCCAATTATTTGAACTTGGATAAGATAAGGCTGAACAAGAATTTTGTAAACGAGTAAATTGAACAAAGTATTTTTGTTTAACCCAGGCCACCCTACCCGTAGCAGTTTTGTCATTCAGTCCCAGTTCTCTACCGCTTTTGTCACTGTCTGTTTGTCATCACAATCGACGGAAGAAATAGTGAAAGACGAGATTAGAAATTGGCGACCTAATAGCTAAGAAAATTAAATGGAACTGTTCCTTGATTGCCTTATTGTGTTAAAATATTGGGCTAAACTACCGTATCCTTCTAGATCTCATCAACAAAACCATCCAAGACTCTTCGAAATTTCTTTCGAAAATGAATATGTAGCAAACTAAACGCTTAATAAAAAATGAAAACGAGACATGATGAAGAAATCTTTCTACCAAAATTAAATTTCGGCCATGTCGGTTGAACTTCTTCTAAGTAACAATTAATTGTCTGTCAAGCAAGCCTCTGAGGAAGAAAAAGACCTGTCTAACAGAATTAGCGAAGAGTTAGAAAATAAATGAGAAGAAGAATCGAAAGTACGATGCATGATTTTCTTCGTCTGAACTAAATGGATTAAACACGTCGTGTTTTGGGTGGTTATCCAAAGATCCGTACGAGATCATGACTCAGCAATTTTCCCTATAGTCAACCCCTTTAGGGCCCACTGCTCCCTTCGGTGGGGGCAGCGGAGTCCGAAAAAGCGTTTGGTAAGCGCCAAACGCTGACGCCAAAGAAACATATGCTTGAGATAATAACTTACTTCATGGATTTCCTCGGAAAATTGGTCAGGCTTAGCTTCCTTCTCTACCCTTTCACTCCATAGATGCTGAAAACACATTTTGGCGCAGGCAAGTCCACTAAATTGCGCACTCAGGTGTGGAAACGTGATGTCCGCGGCCCATCGCGCACAATAGAGTGATGTAGCAGGAGGACGAGACGTGACGAGCATCATTTCAGAACGGGAAAGCGCGCAGATAGTCTGGACACGACTCTATTTCGACTTCCGGTGTTGGCGTTGCTGTTCTCCCTCGTTCTCTTCAACAAGTTCAGAACGTCATTACACTGGTTTTCCCGTCGCGATCAAAACGCCTAAGATTTGTGCACTTATAAACGAGATAATGCTGTTTGGAATTATTTCAAAACTCATTTCCAGGATAACCTGGTCCCTTCCTTTGTATTATTCGGTGTATTTGTGAAAATTTCCCGCTACACTTATGTTCGATTCCCGAAAGGAAACACGATCGTTAGCAACCGTCGGATCCAAGACTTCAGGGCTCAGTTCACTTGTAATTGAGCGAGGCTTGAAATAACGAAAGGGCTTTTCTTTGATACATGTTTTTAATCCTGTATGAAAACTCTTAGAATGGGATGCTGTTTATTTTATCGTGAATTCATTCATCATAACTTCATTTCAATAAACTCGGGTTTGCACTTTTTTATGTCTTAAATTTTTGACCAGCGCCGGTGAAAACTAAAATAAGAAAGTCATGCTCTCGGTACAAAAGAAATGACAATCAATTTTATTTCGGCACGGCTTTCTAAATCTCAGTATTAATTTGATTCAGTCTTGAACGACTTTATTCGTTAAAACAAAATTAAATTAAACAAAAACAGCAAAAAAAGAAAACAGGAACGAAGTCTTATTCTCAAGTCTAACCGTTTCTTTGGTGACTAGTTGGAGTTCATATCATAACTCCTGATAACTCTGTTCAAAAATGCATTGCATTGCAGATGGTGCTCAAAAAATATGTACTGTCCTGATTGAGTAGAATATTCAATAAAAAAAGGGGAAAACGACGACGATTTCAATTCCAAATTATACTTTACAAAATTATGAAGGAAAACTATTGCTGAAATCTATTAGTACAAACGAAATGACAGCGACACAAATCATAGAAAAAAAATTATTTATTGGGCTTCAAAATTTGATAGATGAATTAGCCGACTCGAGCCTTAACTGGAATAATTTCAAAGTTTAATCGCCCATAGGATTCATATTAACAACTTACTTGCCGTACTATCCTCAGTTTGCGCTTGTTACATAACTCTCAAAGAAGATAATTTCGTTGTCCTTAAAGTGGTCTATGAAACTGAAAATTCAAAGGTAATGGTGATGTTAAGAGAGCCGAGGTTAGGATGTTCAAGAACAAATCCAGTTTCTTGACGGTATTTTTGCTGCGCGCGCCGTTGTCAACTGACGTTTCTGTCCTCTTGTTGAACCACTCTATTAATGTATACGTTGACTACCCAGTGCATGTGGAGAACGAAAAGCTACGTCATAGGTATGCGGTCGATAACGCGGGTTCAAACGCACAATGAGAGTAATTTGTAGCCTTCGTGTAACCGTACCCACCTCCCGCCAAAGTTAAACGAGGCGGTTAACTCGCTTCAGTTTCACCATCGGGGGACGGTACGGCTACACGTCGGCTAAGTAAAAATGGGTTGAGATGTAAAACCGAGGTATTTTGTTGTCGTTGTCGTTTCTGGCTTCCGTTAGGAGACTATGGGTGAACAAACTAAGGGAATAGGTCTAGGTCGCTGGCAATTGTCCTTACTTGAAATCAAACCCTGTCATGATAGTTTGCTAGGGAAGGACAACTACAAAGACACAAAAAAATACATCAAGAGGGATGAAAGAAGGTTTGGGACGAAGAAAATAGCACAGATTGCATATGAAAACACATGGGAAGTCAGTCTATCTTCTGTACGATGCACGAAGCACCTAAAATAGACACAAGATATTAAGAAACACAAAATATGCATGTCACCACAACATCTGTTTTAAGTGTCGAATTAAAAAAAAATGAAATGGAAAATTGAGGAACAATATTCTGAGCACTTGAATTTTACATAACTAGTTCTTGAATAAAACAGAATGACCAGAAATAAATAGGCCTGTTAAATGAACAATTTGAAATTTACAGACTGAAATTTACAGAAACATTTGTCATTCGATGAGTGATAATTACAGAATAAATTAACATTCTATCGGTATATATCACTGCTATTAATTCATCGTGAGATTTCAGAGCTTTTCCAATATTTTTCGAAGTTAGCATTCATGAATCATCCGTTTTTGACACTCAACAGTAAGCTAAAACGAAAAATGGAAAGCCTAAGATGGCAAAATCTGTGAGCACACAAGACCCAGACAGACAACTGTTACAGAGACTTAAGACTACAGTTAACCCAAGCTGCAGAATAATGCTAATTTACTCGAGATTTGAACGTTCGAATTTTTGCCGTGATTCTCAATAAAACTTTCGAAACACTCAGTGTGGCTTCTTGTTGTCCCTGCCTGAACGAGTCTATTCCCCCTCCTTGTCCCTCCCCGTGGGGTATTGTTTTGTCCTGTCTCAAGGGTCCCTTGCATTTTTCACGGCTTTTGATGTGACAGGTAACTAGGTTTTATTTTGCCTTGGTATCACTGAAGATCAGCTAGGCTGACAGCTGATACAGGTATTTTAAGCCTGTATTCGAGTCATGTGGCCCACACAGCCGGAGCTTATCCCAGTTTTGTGACTAGGAGTATTACTACTCCCCCCTGAACGGGATGCTTGTCCATCGCACGGTTACCCGCTGCCTTTCATCAGGCTTCTGCTGGGCGAAGAGGCACTGCAAGAGGTGAGTCTTTTGCCCAATTACAACACCTTGACCGACCAAAGTCTCGAGCCCGGACCTCTGGACACGAAGTTCAGCGCACTAACCGTTAGTGCACGCCTCCCACATTCATGACCGATAAGAAGCAACCATTTTTTTTCGAATAACAATTGCATTTCCATGAATAGTTCCTTAGCCGTATGTGTTGGCAGCATTCGGTTAAGTGAATATTTCAGGGAAAATATTTGTAGAAAAATGGATCCCTTCACGGCTTTAGTCACTGACCATTCCATCGTTTTATCATGGTGGGCCGGAAGGTAGCTGAAACTCAACGAAACTTGATGAAACTCGTTCAGAGTGAAATAAAGAACAACAAAAAGCGTATTTGAGCGTATTTCAAAACATTTCAAAAGAATTAAGGCATAAATACGAACGTTCGTCTGTCGACTGTCTACGTGTAATTTCGAGTAAATCGGCACAAATTGCAGCTTGGGCTACCTGTGTTATAGACCGACAGTACGAATAAACAGGACTATTTTTCAGCCTGCCTGCGTTTCTAAGCGGTTGTTTTTTCTCTAATACTTTCACCACCGCCAAAACTTATGAACCAGATAAGTGATGAGAATAAAGATAAATATCAATTTGGGGGATATTTAGTTGATCCAATACTAAATTCTCTGAACTAACATTATAAGAATTGCGTGGTTGACCATGATAAGGAGAATTACAAATTTGATCTGGGAATCAAAGGGTTTCGAAAAGTTAAAAGGAGAAATACGTAGTAGCTCTGGGAAATGATAGTTAAAGGGTTAAATCTAAAGAAAAGGAAACAACAAATGGACGAAAGAAGCCGAGGGACTCAGAGGAGGACTATTTTCTTGCTAGTTTGGATAAATTTGATTAAAGAAAGCTATGTCTTGTATTTAGTTAAATGTAGGACAGCGTCACCCACTTGTGAAGTCACTTGGGAATCTTCGATATCTACAAACAGAGAGTAACGTACAGAGGGTAAACAACAGAGAAACACCACTTTTAAGTTTGTCTTGTGTTTGCAACCTAACCTTTGATTTAGAGTAATTTTCAACTGAGCATCAAAAGTTGCTTGGGTTTTGCTTTACTTCGCAAAGTGACTGATCCACAAAAACTCGCGCCATCCTCTCAATTAATCCGATCTGTTTTCAAAAACCAAACGGGATTTGGTCACCAACGTTTGATTACACGAGAGCAGTTTGCTTGTTTTGACTTTGAGTTCTCATTGGCTATCCGGTCTCTTTCCAAATACCAAACGCGATTTGGTTACACGCGTTTGATTGCACGTGAGGCAGTTTCCTCGTTTTCACTTTGAGTTCTCATTGGCTATCCGATCTGTTTCCAAAATCAAACGCAATTCGGTCTCATGCGTTTGATTGCACGTGAGCAGTTTGCTGGTTTTCACTTTGAGTTCTCATTGGCTGCTTGTGACATTTGTCTGAATTCTGATTGGCCGTTGTGACTACTTTGGTTTTTCGATTTTCGACACGGAATCAAAAATTCACTTTACTACAAACTCAACTGAGACACTGACTCGATTTTCTTTTATTATTTGGATTCGTCTTCGGCATCTTGGATATTTCCACATAGCAAGGCTGGAGTGAAACTAAGGTAGACATAAAGAATAGCTTCTAACACACGAAAGTCGAGGCACAAGCTTATACAGGTATATCGGGAGCGGCAGAAGGGTTATACATAGTAAAAACCTCCGAATGGTTGGTTACTAATAGTAATAATAAAAATTACTATTATAATCATTATTATTATTATTGTTATTATTATCATTATTTAACAAAGAGCAATCTACGAGGTGGCTCTTCCTGTCCACTGTGTCCTGGTCGAATTAGAATTTGGAATGTTGGTTTTTGTGGAGGGTGGAATAGCAGAGAACCCAGAGAAAGACCCTTGCGGCAATGACGAGAATCAACAACGAACTCAACCCACATATGTCGTCAAGTCCCGGAATCGAACCCGATGTTTCACTATTTCTTGGTAGTAAATAAAATAGTTTTGAAACACATCTAGTAATGTTGAGAAAAATTTAATGCAGCACGATAGCTTTTTTTCAAATAGTCATGGATGAGGATCAGTCCATCCAGACTTTAAATTGAAAGAATTGTATAGCAAAATAAACAGCTCAACATAAAAGAACTGTTTGCTAGTTTGAATCTGAATGATCACACACTTGGGCGACATCCACGGATTAAGAAATTAAACAACCCTTTTAATATAGATTAGCATTATAAGCAGTGATTTCATCTAAATGACTACACAAGTTTTATCGAACAGTTTTATTACAATCCCTTTGAATTTAAGTTACAACAGGGGGAGGGGAAGGGGAGGGTACTTCCTATTCATGGGTCGGATGTGCCACTGAATGAGGTCGCATTTTTACGACAGGATTGACTACGTTGGGGATTCATTTTCAATAGCGTTACTAGTCTAGAGAATGGGGCTGCACTTTTTTGGAGATTTGGGAGTAAGAATATTCTGTCAAGCAGGGATTTGAAAATGGAAAGTTTCATGGTCAAATGTGTCAAATCAATCTAGGGCAACCTACTTAAATACAGATGAATAAATAGAAAATGATTAGTTAAGATAGCAAAAATTTCATTTTCCCAAAGGTGACTAAGATGGTGTCTAGAATGGGCCAAAAAGTAGACTATGATGGGGTAGGGTTCTGAGAGGTCAGTGGCACATACCCAGCAAATATTGACCCAAGCACCCCCTCCCCCCCACCCCCTTGAGCTGATGCATATTTCCTAGAACATTTTTTAACCCTTTAATTCCCAAAAGTGATTAACAAGTGACTTCTCCCTATAATATCTAAACATTATCCAGCCAACAGGTCATGAGAATATTCAAACTAATCAGGTAGAAGTTGTTATCTCTATCTAACACCAAGTTCTTGTACCTAACTCACATGGAAATGTGTAGTAGCAAGAGGAGAGAATTAACAATCAGATCTTGGGAGTTAAAGGTTAAATAGTTTCTACTGGGCAAACAGCCATCTGAAATAATATAAAAACACCCAGGAAAAGGTGTCTACAGTAAAAAACTTCTCGAAAAATGCACTTGCTGAAACAACTCATCCATAAACTCTGGCAAAGTCATGTGTTCAGCTTACAGGCATTTGACTGATACCCAGCCTTCGCAGTCAGATTCAACCCTGTTAACAAGTTGATGGGGGTTGAGTCATGTAAGATTACATAGAAAAGGTAGTAGTCTGTAGTCAAGCATGGTGATCCATGCAGTTAGAACATATCGCAATTACAACTCCCCCTGGATGGGATACCAGTGTGGCTATAATGGTTTACTAACTCTCAGCAAATCAATTAGACAGTTTTCCCCACAAATTTACAATATTTAGTCTCAACAATTGCTGACACAAGTTGGTATTAATCGAATCTGTTAAAACTGTAAATAAAATAGAAAGCGAAGACTTATTACAATGTAAATTAAGCTAAATACACTTAAAACGAAATATGCTTGGGAAAACTACAACAAAAATGCTGATGAAAACTACCCAATACAAAACTTACATTTGTTGCGATGCTGTAAAATTACTTAATTAATTAATTAATTAATTGCATCTTTTGCAGAACCAAATTGCAATTCCTACAATCAGGACCATTAAAAATAAAGTCCCAAAGGTACCACCAATGACAGCCCCAGTTTTGCTGCCTGTTCCTAAAAGAAAGAAATGACATGAAATAACAAGTTAGTTACACCTTCATGGGATTGCCATCCAAATGTTGACATTTGAGGTGTTTTTGTGTGGTATTGCATAATTATGTGATGTTTTCAATACATTGTACATTCACAAAATCAATGGTTGGCTGCAGCTAAACAGCCAAAGAAAAATATTCATATACTAAGTGAATTAGTTGGTACCTGGAGTTGTAGTTCTTAGAGCTTTTGGTTCATTTGTAGTTGCATTGACTAGGCTGGCCACACCTACATTAAATGAAATGCTAGCTGTAAAATAACATTTATTTAAGAAGAGACAACCTATCCCCTACTATCAGTGCCATGCATGCTGCTGCTATGTCCCTAATTAAACAAGCTATTAATATAAACTTAACCTTTTCACCCCTTTCCATATCAATACAGTATCAAGCACACAGTGTTTGGAATAAGGAAAAATATCAATTAGGGGATTATTAGTTAATCCCACTCCAAATTCTCCAAACTAACATCATGAGAATTATATGGCAGAGTAAAGAGAATTACTAAATGTGATATTGGGAGTAAAACAGTTACAACACTTCATACATGCTCTGATTGACTGAAAGACAGTCTCAGTGCCTAACTGACTGAGTCAATGACTACTGTTACGTGATAACAAAATGGTTGAGTGATGCACTTTCCCACTGACAAAACACGAGGCAGCCATTTTGAAATTAATTATACAATGTTCACAATACACTGTACATTCACAAAATCAATGGCTAGATGCAGCTAAATAGCCAAAGGAAAAAAAATTCATAAACTAAGTGAATTAATTGGTACCTGGAGTTGTAGGTCTTGGAGCTTTTGGTTCATTGGTAGTTTCATTGACTTGGCTGGTCGCACCTACATAGAATGAAATGCTAGCTGTAAAAAAACATTTATATAAGAACAGACAACCTATCCCTTCCTAACGGTGCCATGCATGCTGTAGTTACTGCAGCTCATAATCTTACTCCTGTTTTCTCATTCTTTCAGTAAATAAAAAAATGCCTTTTCTTTTAAGAAGGCATTAATAGTGCAAGCTGTTTTCAATGAGGGATCTTCAATGGAAATAAGTATTCCAACACACAGTAAACTCACTGGAATGGCTAATGTTGGTTTAAACTGTACTGTTACTCTTTGGGCGCTGTTCACTGGGCTTGTTTTCCTTGGTGATGATGGTAATTAAACATCTGTTACACCCTCTAGATACTGCACATATCAAGTATTCAAGAGTACAGCAGAAAGTACTCAGCTTACCTTTCTTACAGACTGTGATCCATAAGGTTTCTATTTTGTCGTCTGGTCCACCATACACAGATATTAGATAGCTTTTGAAATGATCATCTGAGATATTTCTCATTGCAATAATGATGTCACTAGATCCATTCACAGTCAGTGAGAAGTGTTCCTGACATTCTGTTTCTGTCAGGAATCCATCTTTGTAACAGCGGTATTCACCATTCTGAAATCTCCCAATGACATTGAAAGCGTTGCTGATTGCCATTGTAATTCGTTCAACATCATGTTGTTGAAACGACCATGTAATGATAATGTCTTCATTTGGAGTTACTGTTGAGAAAAAAATTATCATGATCAGCAATTTCTTAACCCTTTCACTCCTAATCTCTCATAAGTAATTCTCCTTACTGCCTGACAAACAATTCTTATCTAGTTAATTCAAAGAATTTGGTATGGGTTAACTTGTAGTTGTTGATATATTTCTTTCTCATCCAACTACACCAAGAAGAGTAAAAATAATGCATGAATCAATATTGGACAGTTGGTTATTTTAAAGTGTAAAAGAAAAAAAAAAAAAAAAAAAACATGTTTAGCCAGTGGGCTTCACATGCTACACTTCTATCCCACCTCATCAGAATTACATATAAAATCAACCATTGGTGTTTCTCAATTTTTTTCTTGACGTATTTTTTAATCAGCTAGTCTTAAGCAATTAAAACATGATATGATGAATTATCAAAACTGAGTTATCTGCTGAAGCTGAAGGCTGATACAGATAACACAGATATGATGTTTAATAATTCCTGACATCATGCAAAAACTGAAGTCAATAATTGTTTTATCATGCATTTTTTAAACAATCTGCCAAAGAAAACACTTCTCTCTAAGTTTACAAAAGTTTGAAAACACTACACGGATGAGAGGCTTGGAAACTAGGCAGACATGTACATGATAAATCCAATATCTGTTGCAGATATTGGATTATCATGTCAACTTCACATGCTATTGTATATTGATTGAATGCTATCAACCAATCAGATTTTTTTAGCAAGTCTAATGTATAATAATATTTATCCCTTGACAGAGGAGAGCCACCCAGTTTGCCACCTTGTTACAAAGAGGGTGTCAATGGAGTTAATCACAACTTCCTGGTTTCATAAATTAAAGACAGGAGTACTTACCACAAGCTGTTACATTTTTAGCATCAGAATCAACATGAATTTGCTTCAGTGCTCCCGCAAATTTGGCTACAAAATAAATAACAACCGACATATGAATTAAGAAATACAAGAGAACAAACTAACATGTCATTGACCAAGAGAAAGACAACAACAACAACAAAGACGAAAATGAGTGCTTTTAGCCCTTGTATGTTGTTCTAGCATAAGTTTGGGTATAATTGGGACAGACAAGCATAATTTTTGCCCTTTTTATGAAAAATATAGCACTGCTTGCATGTTTCAATTTCTTTTTTTGAGGGGAACATTACCAGACTCATGACTACTGTTTTGGTCTCTAAGATAAAAATTTTTAAGTTTGGTTCATGGTTCAGTTTATTTTCAGTTTTAAAAAATTAAAGAACAAATCTGACGCAAAGATACTAAATCCTTTTGTAATAGATCCACTAAATCATTCAAGGCTCTTCAGCATTTATAGTGAAATACACAGTGAAAGGCAACATGGCTGAAGACATTATTGCCATTTGATTCAAAAACTGCCTTATTTCATAAACTGTTTTGTTTTGCTTGAAAGTACCATATCTTAACACTCATTGATACACACCCAGGGTCAAAGAGGCAATTAACTCAAACAATATTATCAGGAACAGTGGAATAGAAATTCCCCCAGCATGGATTCTTACAATCAAGAGACAAAACAACAGGAGAGCCTACCACAGGGGAATGTTTCGCCAAAACAGTGGGGTTGAAAATGTGCCAATCACAGCTGTTTGTTATAACAATGAATAATGATGGACTACTGTGCTTAATAAGATGAAGCACAACCAGTCAACCTTAATGCCTGAAAGAGACTAGTGGTGTGCTAGTTGTTTCTATTTAGTTTGCAGAGTTACCATATTCAGAACCCCCCATGTCCCCCTCAATGTACAAAATCTACCAAGGAAATCAGATTTTTCTTTGTCCCAAAACCACATCTGTCCGAAAAATTTTCACTTTTTTTAAAGCAAGAGACTACCATCATACCATCACTTAAGTTTTAAGTCAAAACTTCTTAATACAATTAAATCTTATGGTTTCTTGTCAATTTGCCACTAGCTGTATCATCAACATTCTGGTGTTATTCAATTGCACCATCACTGATGAGGAAAAAAAAAAGTTTCATAAAATGTGAATATCCATTCTTCAATCTCAGTAAACCAATGTCAGTTTGCAGTTTCATGGGGCTCAACTGACTTTTAATCAATTGAAAAGTGCATAATAGCTGGTAACATTTTGGCTATTCTGCTTCAAATAATTAATCGCCATACAGTGTATCTTCAGATGGGCAGTGATTCATTCAGCTGTCACGCTTGGCAGGTAGATGAAAGACGGCTAAACTACCTTAAAGAGCGCAGGTTTTGCAGACCATTCATCTGGCTTCTGTCATGGATATGTGATGAACAGTCAACTAGCGTGAATTTTGCGTGCACAAGTTCATTATCATGTGGCACACGAAGTCTTTTCCGATTGAAGCGAACAGAGATAAAGATGGCATCTTTCACTCAATTTATTAGAAACATAACGCGAAAAATACACGATTTTCTTACCTTTTCCATGAAAAGCCAACATAAAAACCAATTCAACAAAAACATGGCGAGTTAAACTTTCGCAAGCTGTCAGGCACCGATGCGAAATGTTGAGATTGCTTTTGTGTGAGATTGTCCACAATGACCCAAACTTACATCTGTTCAAAATATTTCCCTTTTTTAAAGTAAAAAAACTACCATCGTTAAGTCAAAAGTTCTTAATGCAATGAAAATCTTATGGTTTCTTATCGACTTGCCACTGTGTCATCGAGTATTCCGGTGTAATTCAATTGCACCGTTGCTAATGAGGAAAAAAAGGTAAAGGTTTATAAAATCTGATTATTCGTTCCTAAATCTCAGTAATACCAATGCCAGTTTGCAGTTTCATGATGAAAAGTATAAATGGCGCGAATTTTGCGCACATTCGTGATCATGTAGCAAAAATGTCTGTTCCGATCGAAGCTAGGGGAGCTAAAGATGACATCTTTCATCCGATTTATTAGAAATATAGAGTTAAAAATGCTCGGTTTTCTTACCTTCTGCTGTAAATAGCAAACATAATAGCCAATTCAACCAAAACATGCCGATATAAACTTTCCCTGGCTGTCAGTGACCATCGGCGAAGGAAATGATTTCGTTAGCTATTTAAACTCAAGTCAAGTAGTCTTGCGGGCTCAAGAAAATCAAAACGATTACAATAAGACAATCGTGGGGGACGTGACAGGGAATGAAGTTAAAAACCGTTTATAGCAAAGCCTCCATCCTTTCTCGGACCACAAACATTCGAGGAGAAAGATAGCAGTAGAACCTCGAACTATTTGAACTTGGAGAAGATTAAGCTGAAAAAGAATTCTGTGAACGAGTAAATTGAACAAAGTATATTTATTTAACCCACCCCACCACGCAGCAATTTTGTCATTCAGTCCTAGTTCTCTACCGGTTTTTTCATCGTCTAATATAGTTATCAGTCAAAGGAAAGTTGAAAACAGCGAACCGACAAGACGTAATACGACCTGACCTCAGGGAAAGTAAAATGGCGCCGTTCCTTGATTGCCTTATTGCGTTCAAATATTAAGCAAAGCTGCCGTATCCTTCTAGATCTCATCAACAAAGCCATCCAAGACCCTTCGAAATTTGTTTCGAAAGCGAATATGTAATAAATGGAAAGCTTAAATAACAATAAAAACGAGACATGATCAAAAAAATTCTTATACTAAATTTAACTTTCGGCAGTGTCGGTTGAACTTCTTTTCAGTAACAATTAACTTTCTGTCAAGAAAGCCTCTGAGGAAGAAAAAGACCTGTCCGATAGAATAACCGAAGAGTTTGAAAATAGATGAAATGAAGAAAGCACGATGCAATATTTTCCTCGTCTGAACTGAATGGATTGAACAAGTTGTGTTTTGGGTGGTTGTCCGAAGATCCGTACATGATCATGACTCAGAAATTTTCCCCACGGTCACCCTCCCAGAGAGCCCGCTGCTCCCTTCGGTAGGAGCAGCGGAGTCCGAAAAAGCGCTCTGTAAGCTAGCGCACTGCGACGTCAGCGCCAACGAAACACACGCCTGCGATGCAACTTACTTCATGGATTTCCTTGGAAAAATCGGCCAGGCTTAGCTTCCTCATCTACCCTCTCACAATACTATGGATGTTGGCACAGGCAAGTCCACTAAATATTGCGCACTCAGATGTAAAAAGTGGCATACATAGCCCCCACCCAAATGGTTACTTTGAGCTAGATTGCCAAAGCTGAATAACGACATGCTACGTCACAGGTATGCCGTCAATAACGCGGGCTCACACGCGTGAGGCTTAACATTAGTCGTGGTTACACTAGCCCTTTTACCCATGGGTAAATAGCGTTTGCCCACGGGCATGGACGTTTTTGTGTGTAACCGCTTTCCCCAGACTGAAACTGCTCTAGGGCTATTTCCATGAATACATCAAAAATAACAAAAGAACTTCTAATGACAATTCCTGAACTGAAAAGTATGGTTTATCTGCACCCTGAGGTGGCTTGGCCAATCATAAAGCAGAATGTAGCTAATAGAGGAAATCGCCTGCAGTGTTTTGAGGTGACCTCCAATGTGCTTAGCTAATTTCGGGCTTTCTTCAGTGTCTTCTCGCAAAAAACTGCTGGACTGTTATATTTATGGAGGACTGTTATATTTATGGAGGACTGTCATATAATGAGCAGGAGAATCATTGAAATTAAGCTTAATAGATCTCGATTTGTAACATCCATGTTGCTCTGTACTTTTCCCGCCAATTTGTCAGGTTAGTGAACTCATATCTGATTATATTTGACCCTGAGGGGAGTCTTATACTGTGTAACTGCACATCCCCAAGGGTAACATGAAACCTGAGCTTAACCAAACCCATGCTTTTACCCTCCGCAAGGCCCCAAACCCAAGGTGTGTGTAACCACCACTATTGAGAGTAAATTGTGGAATAAAAAGGGATTGAAATTTGAAACTGAGCTATTTTGTTGTCATTGAAGGCATTTTCCCAGCTTCCATTATGGGACTATGGGTGGACAAAGAGAGGGAATAGGTCTAGGTCGCTTGCAATTGTCCTTAACTGAAATCAAACCCTATCATAACAGTTTAATTTTCTAGGGAAGGACACCTACAAAGACACAAGAATAAACACCAAAAGGGATGAAAGAAGAATTGGGACAAAGAAAATAGCACAAATTGCAAATGAGGACACATAGAGAAGTTGCACAAAGCACCTAAAATAGACACAAGTTACTAAGTTTTAAGAAAGCTGGGATATCTCTTCTTATTAGACTATCCTAAGAAAGACAAAATATGCATGTCACCAGAACATCTGTTTTAGGTATGGAATATATAAAAAAAATGAAAAGGAAAATTGAGGAACAATATTCTGAGCATTTGAATTTTTCATAACCATTTCTTGAATAAAACAGAGTGACCAGAAATAAATAGGCCTGTTAAATGAACAATTTGAAATTTATAGACTGAAATGTACAGAAACATTTGTCACTCGATGAGTGATAATTACAGAATAAATTAACATTCTATCATTATATGTTACTGCTATTAATTCATCGCGAGATTTCAGAGCTTTTCCAATTATTTCCAAAGTCAGCATCCAAGAATCATCCATTTTTGACACTCAATAGTAATCCAATTGTACAACAATTCCGAAAACAAACACAGCAAGTAATCAAATTGGCACTTTCCAGCAGGGAGAATACACATTCCAAAACTAAACAAAGGATTTTGTTATCATAATTTAAAAAAAAAAAAGTTTGTTTTGATTACTGATTTTATAGTGTTGTCCATTGCATGCACAAACTCTCCCTACAATAAAAAAAATATATTTTCGTTCTCTTGCATGACATCTTGTTCACCTTGTGTCAAGCAAAAATTTCAAGTTTGGGGTGTGTCATTTTTATTTCACATAGGCAAACTTCCCCCAAAAGAAAAAATATTTTCACCCTCTTGCATGACATCTTGTTCACCTTGCATTATGCAAAATTTCAAGTTTGGGGGTTCTTCATTTTTATTACATATGCACAAACTTCCCCCAAAATAAAAAAATATTTTCATCCTCTTGTGTGGCATCTTGTTCACCTTGTGTCATGCAAAAATTTTGATTTTGGTGGTGTGTCCTGATTGGTCAAAATTGGTCATCATGTGGTTCAGTGATTGGTTGGCAGTCCCTTTTTCTTCTACATCTTTTGCAGAACCAAAATGCAATTCCTCCAATCAGGACTATAAAAAATAAAGCCCCAAGGATACCACCGATGACAGCCCCACTTTTGTTGCTTGTTCCTAAAAGTAAGAAATGACATGAAATAACAAGTTAGTTACACCTTCATGGGATTGCCATCCAAATGTTGACATTTGAGGTGTGTTTGTGCAGTACTGCATATATTAATTATTCATGATTATGTGATGTTTACTACATTGTACATTCACAAATTGTACCTGGAGTTGTAGTTACTGTTGGTTCATTAGTAGTTTCATAGACTTGGATGGTCACACCTATATTGAATGAAATGCTAGCTGTAAAATAACATTTAGAGAAGAACAGACAACCCATTCCTTACTAACAGTGCCATGCATGCTGCTGCTATGTCCCTAATTAAACAAGCTATTAATATAAACTTAACCTTTTCACCCCTTATTATATCAATAGAGTATCAATTTAATTTAATTTTTAATTTAACATAATTTATATAGCGCTAATATTAAAATAATTAAAAAGATCCCACTGGTAATAAAATATGAATAAATTAAAAACCTATTTGTAGACTTATTTATAAAAATATCACAGTAAATCCTATTCCAAATTATCAAAAATTTAAACATTATATGCTTTTTTAAAAAGATCGGTCTTTAAATGTTTCTTGAATAAATTAATTGTATCTAAACTTCTAAGATCTAATGGCAGCTCATTCCAGAGTTTAGGTGCAGCAACAGAAAAGGTCCTGTCTCCATATGTTTTAAGTCTTGACTTCGGAACTGCCAGCAATTTTTGATCAGTAGAGTGTAGCATATGTGAACATGTACGATAACTAAGTAATTCCGTGATATATAATGGTGCCATACCATTTTGGGCCTTATAAACTAACAATAAAACTTTAAAAAGAATCCGAAAGTGAACAGGTAACCAATGCAGTTGAATCAATACAGGGGTGATATGATCAAATTTCTTGGTTAAAGTAACGATACGAGCAGCCATGTTTTGCACAGACTGCAAACTACTTATCATATGCTTAGGGAGGCCATACAATAAAGAGTTACAATAATCTAGTTCTGAACTAACAAATGCATGAACAAGAATTTCTGTAGTTTCCTCAGTGAGGTACTTCCTAATTTTAGAAATGTTCCTTAAGTGGTAGTACGACGTTTTGCAGATCTTATTTACATGTTCCACCATATTACAGCATTCATCAAATATGACACCGAGATTCCTAGCTGAAGATTTGGGGAGTATTTGTTCATCACCAACTGACACATATGAATTGGCAGGCTTTGGGCGGAATTTTGAACTAATTATAATCAGTTCAGTTTTCTCCTTTTCTCAAGCACACAGTAATGAGAACAAGGGAAAATATAAATCAGGGAATTATTAGTTAATCCCACTCCAAATTCTCCAAACTAACATCGTTAGAATTGTATTACACAGTAAGGAGAATTAATTATTGAGATCTTGGGAGTGAAACAGTTAAACAACACTCTATACATGTTCTGATTAACTGAAGTCTAAGTGCCTAACTGACTGAGTGAATGACTATTAAAGAACCAAATAACTAACTGGTTGAGTGATGCACTTTCCCAATAGAGGTATCATAAAAAATAATCTCTTGATCACTGGAACCTAAAATTTAACAGGAGTGTCCTGTTCTTGGGAAAAAAAAACTAAATTACATTATAGTTGCCTCTTTGTGTAAAGTTTTGGTGAGGTATTTGTAACACTAAATGTTTGAATTTATCTGCAGACTGATTAAGGTATCACAAAATGGGGCTAGCTTTACATAACACTCTTTTCTGTTTGCCTTAAGTGAACAATCCATTTATCCTCAACTGGTAGAATTTCTTCACTGGTAGCTTAAGTATATAGCAGTTATCTGATAGTTTATCATAATCTCTATATCACTTTCTTGTATAGTACCTGTGGATGAAATAACTGTGCTCATCGGTGCTGTTGTTCCTGCTGAAAGAAAAATGAAAACATAATCATTGAACTACTGCACCATTTTGTGTGCATAAACAAAATTGTTTAAAGGCAGCTTGGGTCTACTATCTCCTTTACACAGATTTCTAAAGGGGTAAAAATGACCAAAATATATCATTGACACCTCACTCTGAATGAAGGATATTGTCTATCTTAACCAAAGACAAAACAGAACATACCCCTAATTTCTAGAAATCTGTAGTTTGCAAAATTGAAATATGCTAATGATTTAAAAAATAGAAATCTGTAATTTGTGAAAAAAAAATTATTCTGAGACTCAAGAAAATAAAAGAGCTTGGGTTAGTTACATTTTCCCAGCAACCACGATATTTCATCCAGAAACATGCTGCGACACTTTCCATGTGCATTTCCAGTCAGGTAAGCGTCATGTCACGCATTCAAATTATTCATCGACAACATACTTTGATTACACCTTATAGAAAGTACAGCTACAGCGTCAACTAATAATTCAAATAACTTTTGTGCCCTATGGCTTAAATGATGCATTGAATTATTCACAAACATAGGTGAGATTTGCAGTTTTCATTTCGTTTCATTTCCTTCACAAATTACAGTAAGCCGGTGATGATGGTAATGTTACACCCTCTGGATACTGCACATATTAAGTATTCAAGAGTACGAGAGAAAGTACTCAGCTTACCTTTCTTACAGATTATAATCCATAATGTGTCTATTTTGTCATCTAGTCCACGGTAAACAGATATTAAGTAGCTTCCAAAATATGGATGTGAGATATTTCTCATTGCAATAATTATGTCACCATATGCATTCACAGTCAGTGAGTAGTGTTCCTGACATTCCGTTTCTGTGAGGAAGCCACCCTTGTAACAGCGGTATTCTCCATTCTGAAATCTCCCAATAACTTTGGAAGCACTGTTGAGTGCCATTACAATGCGTTCAATATAATGTTGTCCAAATGACCATTTAATGGTAACATTTCCAAATGGAGGCACTGTTGAGAGAAAAATTATTACAATCAGCAATTAATCTTAACCCTTTCACTCCCAATATCTCATTAGTAATTCTCCTTACTGCCTGACATAAAATTCTTAATTCAAAGAATTTGGTTGAATGAGAAGAAGAATTTGGTATGGATAAACTTGTAGTTGTTGTTATATTTCTTCATCATCCAAATACATCAAAGAGAGTAACAAAAAGGCGCAAATAGAGTACAAACATCGAGCAATATTGGACAGTTGGTTATTTTGAAATGTAAAAAAAAAACATGTTTAACTGGTGGGCTTCACATAATACACTTTTTTATCCCACCTCATAAGAAATGCTAATAAGATAGAGCAGTGGGATAACAAGTTATTATACTAAGATTGTCTTCAACCATTGATGTATTTCAGTTTTTTCTAATTTTCTAATCAGCTAGTATTAAGCAATTAATACATGATATTTTGAGTTATAATAGAAGACACAGACATGATGTTTAACAATTCTTGATATCATGCAAAAACCAATGTCAGTAATTGTTTTATTATGCATTTTTAAACAGTCTGCTGAAGAAGATACTTCTCTCTGAGTTCACAAAAGTTTGAAAACACTACACAGACAAGAGGCTTGGAAACTAGGCAGACATGTACATGATAAATCCAATATCAACTGCAGATATCAGGTTATCCTGTCAACTTCACACACTAAACTGTATATTAATTGAATGCTATCAACCAATCAGACTTGTTTTAGTAAGTCTAATGTATAATAATATCTATCATTTGACAGAGGAGAGTCACCCAGTTTGCATTCACGTTATGATGAGGGTGTCAATGGAATTAATCACAATTCCCTGGTGTCATAAATTAAAGACAAGAGTACTTACCACCAACCGTCACATTATTAACACTAGAATCAACATGTATATGCTCCAGTGCTGCTGACATATGAATTAAGAAATACAAGAGAACAAATCAACAAGACATTGAACAAAACAAAGATTTATTATGAAATAAACAATGAAAGGCAAGATGGCTGAAGATATTTTTGCCACTTGACTCAACAACTGTCTTCTTTCGTGAACTGTTTTGTTTTGTTTGAAAGTATCATATCTTAACACTCACTGATACACACACAGGGTCAAAGAGGTGATTATCCCTAACAATATCAACAGGGACAGTGGAATAGAAATTCCACAGGCATGGATTCCTACGATCAAGAAATATTGATTTTTCTTTGTCTCAAAATTATATCTGTTCAAAATTTTTCAAATTTGTCTAAATTAGTAAGAGACTACCATCATACCATCACTTAATTCTTAAGTAAAAATGTCTTAATGCAATGAAAATCTTACAGATTCTTGTGGACTTGCCATTAGCTGTGTCGTGGAACATTCCAGTGTTATTCAATTGGACTGTTGCTGACAAGGAAAAAACAGGTTTACAAAATGTGATTATTCATTCTTAAATCTCAGTACACCAATGTCAGTTTGCACTTTCGTGAGGCCAAACTGACTTTTGATCGGTGGGAAAGCATATGATAGCTGGAAACATTTCAATGGTTCTGCCTCAAATAACTAATTGTGGGCAGTCATCCATTGAATACCGACACGCTTGATAGTCAGATGAACGACGGCTAAACTACTTTAAAGTTTGAAGATTTTGAAGACCATTCATCTGGCTGCTGCCATAGAAATGTGATAAACAGTCAACTAATGAAAATTTCGTCTATACTAGGTGCGAGTTCATCATGTAGCAACTAAGTCTGTTCTGATTGAAGCATAGTGAAACAGAGAGTTAAAAACACCTTCTTACCTTTTGCTATAATTAGCAAACATAAGAAATAGTTCAACCAAAGCATGCTGAGTTGAATATTTACTAGCTGTCAGTTCCTGTTCAGTTCCCGTAAAACTAGGCTTTAAATGGCACAGATAAAAATATACAAAAGTAGAAGCGCCCCAGGCTCACGCCTTGACAACAGCAGAGGAGGGGGCCCAGGCCCCCCCTTATTTTGGGTGAAAAAAAAGAATTGCAGAAGGAAGGAAAGCCACCAAAGAAAGCCACCAAAGAAAGCCACCAAAGCAAGCAGTGGGAAATTGGGCTCTCCTCTTTAGCTCAAGGTCTGGATCTGCCACTGAAAACTATGACAAAATTCCCGAATTTTGTCTGATTACAGGTGTCCAGTTACAGCCAACTGTACAATTACACTGTCCAATTACAACTCTACAGAATGATTAGTGAAAAATTAAGCAGCTGCTGCACCAATCACATTTGCAGAAGTTGTAATGGTTATTATTATAACTGTAATCATACCAGTGATTAACAAATCAAACTCTTGCTTCGCTGTTGTCTGATTTGGTTAATCACTCGTATGATTACAGACTGCATTGGACTCCAATTAGTACTATTACCATTATGAATTAAAATTTATAAGAGCATCACGCGTTGTGTGACACGGTGTTAAGTTGCGAGAGGAATTTGAATACGTTACAAGGAATAGTTTGGGGAATGAAACATGGTCGATTTACAACGATAAAAATTTCGAAATATGAACATTTAACCCACAAAATCAATAGAAATTACTCACATCTTGTGTGTTTGTTGTGGTTTCCGGCGTTTTCCGCCGTTTTAACCTTGCTTTACCGTTGCTGTTACTTCTGTTTCAAGACGAAGAAAGAAAAACAATCGTGGGGGACATGACAGGAACAGAGTTAAAAACCGTTTATATCAAAGCTTCCATCCCTTCTTGGATCACAAAAACTCTTGGGGAAAGATAGCGGTAGATTTGAACTTGGAGAAGATTGGGCTGAGGAGGAACATACTTTGTGGACGAGTAAATTGAACAAGGTTTCTTTGTTTAACCCACCCTACCACGCAACAGTTTTGTTATTGAGGCCCAGTTCTCTACCGTTTTTTTCATTTTCTGTTTGTTATCACAATCGACAGAAGGGAGACGAGCTGCGAAACTCGCGACCTGATCAACCTAGGAAAATTAAATGGCACTGTTCCTTGATTGCCTTATTGCGTAAAAATATTGGGCAAAGCTACCATATCCTTATAGATCTCATCAACAAAACCATCCAAGACCCTTCGACATTCCTCTCGAAAACGAATGTGTAATAAACTAAAAGCTTAATTAATCATGAAAACGAGACATGATGAAGAAATCTTTCTACCAAAATTAAATTTCGGCAATGAATTTGAACTTCTCCTTATCAACAATTAATTGTCTGTCAAGCAAGCCTCTGAAGAAGAAAAGGACCTGTTCAACAGAATTACTGAAGAGTTAGAAAATAAATGGGATGAAGAAAGCGCGATGCACGATTCTCCTGGTCTGGATTAAATGGACTAAACACCTCGTGTTTTGGGTGGGATCCGTACATGATCATGACTCAGCAATTTTCCCTATAGTTAACCCCCTAGAGAGCGCACTACTCCCTTCGATGGGTGCGGCGGAGTCTGAAAAAGCGCTAGGTAAGCGCGCTGCGAAGATGATGCCAAAGAAACATGCTTGAGAAAATATCTTACTTCATAGATTTCCTTGGAAGAATTAGTCTGGCTTAGCTTCCTCCTCTACCCTCTCACAATACCATGGATGGCGAATACACATTTTGGCTGCGTCAAGTCCAATTAATTGCGCTCTCAGGTGTAAAAATGTGGTATACATAGCCCTTCGCACAGAATATAACTAGATGGACAAAGCTAAATAACAAAAAGCTACGTCACAGGTATGCGGTCAATAACGCGGGCGCACGAGGTTTAGCATCGAGATTAATTTGCTGAGGAAATAGGGGTTGAAATTTTTAAAATCGAGGTATTTTGTTGTTGTTGTTGACGGCATTTTCCTGGCTTCCGTGAGGGGACTATGGGTGGACAAATAAAGGAAATAGCGTGGAGTTTTTAAGTTTCCTCATTGGGAGACTTTTTTCATTTCGGGCTGTTTCCAGGTCGCTGTCGCTTATTGTCCTTAAATGAAATCAAACCCCTTTCATAGCAATTTGTTAAGGAAGGACAACGACAAAGACACAAGAATAAACCAAAAGGGATTAAAGAAGAATTGGGATGAAGAAAATAGCACAAATTGCAAATGAAGACACATAGAGAAGTTGCACAAAGCACCTAAAGTAGACACAAGTTACTAAGTTTTAAGAAAGTCCGAATATTTCTCTTATTAGACTATTCTAAGAAACACAAAATATGCACGTCAACACCACATCTGTGTTTAGTATAGAATATAAAAAAATGAGATGGAAAATTGAGGAACAATATTCTGAGCATTTGAATTTTACATAACCATTTCTTGAATAAAACAGAAAGACCAGTAAATAAATAAGCCTGTTAAATGAACAATTTGAAATTTACAAACTAAAATGTACAGAAACATTTGTCACTCGAATATTAATAATTACAGGATAAATTAACATTCTATCATTACATATTATTGCTATTAATTCATCATGAGATTTCAGAGCTTTTCCAATAATTTTAGAAGAAAGCATCCATGAATCATCCGCTTTTGACACTCAACAATAAGCTGAAATGAAAAATGGATAGCTAAAGTTTGCAAAATTTTTTGAGCACACAAGACCCAGACAGACAACTGTTACAGAGACTTAAGACCACAGGTGTCCCAAGCTGCAGAATAATGCCAATTTACTCAATATTATATGGAGAGATCTGAACACTCACATTTTTCTTCAATAAAACTTTTCAAAACACTTGATGTGTCTTCTTGCTGTTCCTCCCTGGGCGAGTTTATTATCCCTTCTTGCCCCTCCCTATTGATATGACAGGTAGCTAGGCTTTATTTTGCCATGGTATCACTGAAGATCAGCTAGGCTGACAGCCGATACAGGTAGTTTAAGTCTGTATTTGAGTCATATGGCCCACCCAGCCAGAGTTCATCCAGGTTTCATGGCTAGGAGTATTACTACTCCCCCCTGGATAGGATGCTAGTCCATTGCACAGTTACCCCCAGCCTTTCATCAGGCTTCTGCTGAGCGGAGAGGCACTGCAAGAGTTGAGTCTTTGCCCAATTACAACACATTGACCAACCAGTCTTGAGCCCAGACCTCTGGACAGAAAGTTCAGCGCACTAACCATTAGCCACCGCATCTCTCACAGTGATTACCAATAGGAAGCATAAATTTTTTTTAAAATAACAATTGCATTTCAATAAACAGTTCCTATAGCCAAGTGTGTGGGCTGTATTTGATTTAGTGAATATTTCAGGGAAAATATTTGTTATGGAATGGATCCCTCCTAAGTTGCTTTATGGCTTTAGTCACTGACCATTCCACTGTTTTATCATGGTGGGGGAAGGTAGCTGAAACTATAGATGCAACTTGATGAAACTCGTTCAGGGGAAATAAAGAACATCAAAAAGACACTGAACATATTTTAAAACATTTTCAAGAAAATTAAAGCAGAAATATGAATGTTCGTACATCAACTGTCTGCTTGTAATTTCGAGTAAATTGGCCCTAAATTGCAGCTTGAGCTACCTGTGTTATAGACTGACAGTGCAAATAAACAGGACAATTTCAGCCTGTAACCTGTGTTTCTAAGCAGTCCTTTTATCTCTAGATACTTTCACCCACCCCACTCTCATGTGATTAAATTAATTGTAACTTGTCCTAATATTAATAGACAAACACCAAACCAATTATGACAGCCAACAAATTTACAAACTGGACTACATAAGAAATTAGCCCTTTAACTCCCATGAGCGACCAAGATAGAATTTCTCCTTACAATATCATTACAATATCTATCAGATAAGTGAAGAGAATACAGGAAAAATCAATTTAGGGATAATTAGTTGATCCAATATTAAATTATCTGAACTAACATTATAAGAATTGCATGGTTGACAGTAAGGAGAATTACAAATTTGATCTAGGAATTAAAGGGTTAAAAATAAGTAAAAAGGAGAATTATGTAACAGCTCTGAGGAATGAGAGTGAAAGGGTTAAATTTAGAAAAGGAAATAACAAAATGAATGAGATAAGCAAGAAAAACTATTTTCTTTCTGGTTTTGTCTTGTATTTAGTTAAATGTAGGACAACGTTACCCACCTGTGAAGTCACTTGGGAATCTTGGATATCTACAAACAGAGAGAAACAAAGGGTAAACAACAGAGAACTATCAGTTTTAAGTTTGTTTTGTGTTTGCAACCTAACCTTTAATTTACAATAATTTTCATCTGATCTGTTTCCTAAAACCAAACATGATTTGGTCACATGCGTTTGACTGCACATGAAGCAATTTGCTTGTTTTCACTTTGAGTTTTCATTGGCTATCCGATCTGTTTCCTAAAACCAAACGCAATTTGGTCACACACATTTGATTGTGCCTAAGGAGTTGGCTTGTTTTTACTTTGAGTTCTGATTGGGTATCCAATCCATTTCCAAAATTTAAACTCAATTTGGTCACAAGCCTTTTATTGCACATGAGCAGTTTGCTTCTTATTACTTTGAGTTCTCATTGGCTGCTTCTGACATTTGTCTTGGTAATTCTGATGGCCATTGTTACTACTTTGGTTTTGCAATTTTCGACAATGAATCAAAATCCACTTATAATTAGTACAAACTTAACTGAGATACTCACTTGATTTTCTTTTCTTCTTTGGGTTTGTCTTCAGCATCTTGGATATTTCCACTTAACAAGGCTAGAGGGGAATTAAGGTAGACATAAAGAATAGCTTCTAAAACATGAAAATAGAGGCACAAGCTTATACAGGTACACCAGGCGTGGCAAAGGATTACATAAAGTAAAAACCTCTGAGTGGTAGGTTAATAATAATAATAATAATAATAATAGGAATGATAAGAAGAAGATTTATTATTATTATTATTATTATTATTAATGTTATTATTATTATTATTATTATTATTATTATTATTATTATTATTATTATTATTATTTAAGAGTGAACAATCCATGAGGTGGCTCTTCCTGTCCACTGTTTCCTGGTTGAATTAGAATTTGGAATGTTGGTTTTTGTTGGGGGAGGAAAACCAGAGAACCCAGAGAAAGACCATTGGGGGCATGGACAAGAACCAACAATGAACTCAAACCACATGTGTCGTCAGAACCCAAGCCACAGCCTTGGGAGGTGAGTGCTCTTACCACTGTGCTATTCCCACTCCCCAGGTTACAGTGAGTATCAAGCTGGAAAATAAATATATCGTGTGGTATTTTTTCTTCAGCAAGAAATTAAATTTAAAGTTTACTGAATGATTTGCCTATTTATACTGTGCAGAAACCCACACTCACGATAAACGTACTTGCAAGCTTCAGCGACTTCCAATACTTGCTCTGTTCACCAACAACATTTACTATGGTCTCTAAACAACTACATAGGTGGAGAGAAACAAGAGTTATGAGGTTAGTGTGAAAGTGTTTTACTACTGCTTAATAAAAATTAAAATAGTTTTAAAACACATCTAACCATGTTGAGAAAAATTTAGTGCAGCGTGATAGCTTTTTTTCAGATAGTCACTGATGAGGATCAGTCCATCCAGACCTTAAATTGAAAGAATTCATTGTATAGCAAAATAATCAGCTAAACATGAAAGACCTGTTTGCCAGCTTGAATCTGAATGATCACACACTGGGGTGACATCCACAGATTCAGAAGTTAAACAACCTTTTTTTCTAAGAGGCACAAGAAGCTATCACTATAAGCCTGCGATGACAGGTGACGTTAGAAGAAGCAACTTTGAATACCCAACAAAATGGTTGTGTTACCTGTCACAAGGTGTCATGGGGCCATCAAGTTGTGGGCATGGATCTCCAAGAAGAGAAGAAGTACAAGCACACATAGATTCCTCCACTGAAGTAAGATTATAACCTCCCTAGAAAAAGCGAAAAAGCAAACAAATTGTAGATAATTGTCACTAAGCTGAGGGTATTTTGAGTCACCCCCACTCCTCTAATGGAATAGGTTGTGATGAAACTGACCAGGGGGGGGGAGGGGGGGTAAGGGTGAGGGTGAGGACATCTCTTAATATATATTTAGAGGGGACAATTGCTCATTAAGCTCATTAGGTTCTGATCTTTAAAGCATACATCTGCTAAGTGGGTTGATACAAAAACAAAATTAAAGTAAAAGGAAAAAGAAATTGTAAAGAAGAAGAAGAAACCTGTAAGCTATTGATTGAGAGCAGTATAGCAATTGAACTCAGGACTAACTAAGAAGAAATTGAGTTGGGTGGTATTAGCCGATGAGCAGGCACTTATTATGAGTGCTGCAAGACATGTGTTTCTCTGCTTGCGGAAGATTTGGGGATGAGTTGAAGTGGGTAATGAGGGCTTACTCCTAGGCTTGGGTGACATAGTAAAGAAGTTGAACTGTGGATGACCAGATTTTAAATCCATGGTCAACAATCTCTCTGCCAATTTGCCTCCAAACAAACAAGAATAGTCTCAGTTTTGCAAAAGTCAAAAGGTTTGGATGAACCCCAATATCACTGGAAATGAATGCAAGTACCTCAAGAACAACAACTACTCTTCCAGTGGCTAAATTCATCAGCATTCTTGTAAGGTGATGGTAACCTTCTGGTGTTATATCACAAAGTCCCTGTCAATTCAAATTCACCTTCAGTCTCATATGAAACATAAAATAAATTTGAAGGGGAATCAGATTAACTCTAAAGGCACACAGGAAATCGTATTCTCATCAGTTACATACAAAAACACGTGAGAGATGCAAGCCCAGGGGAGGGGGAGGTGGGGTAGGGGGACAGGAGGGTACTTCCTAGTAATAGGCTAGATGTGCTACTGGATGGGGTGGCATTTTCACAACAGGATTGACTACATTGGGGATTCATTCTCAATAGAGTTACTAGCTTGTCTAAAGAATGGGGTCACACTTTTTTGGGGATATGGGAGGGGGACGATATTCTGTCAAGTTGGGAGTGACCAAGACAGAATTTCTCCTTACAACATCAAATACGATATCAACCAGACAAGTGATGAGAATAAAGAAAATATTAATTAGGAGATTATTAGTTGATCTAATACCAAATTCTCCAAACTAACATCACAAGAACTACTGGTATATGGCAGACAGTTCAGGGAATTACTGATGAGATCTTGGGAGTTAAAGGATCAAGGGTACAAATACCAATCTTTACTTTTGGATCTCCTTGAGCTGAGTCAAAACCAGCCGACACCAAAACAAGATCAGGATCAAACTGAAATAAATTTCACAAACAACAAATACTCAGAGTGGTTTTCAATTTATCTAACAATCCAGGATTGCTAAGGTTGTGATGCCTTCAAAAATTTTTTCTTTGGTTAATAAGATTATGCACTCCCCATCCTAAACCAATCAAACAAAAGATGAACAATTGAAGCATTAAGTTAGACATACATTTATTTGAGTTCTTATTGGCACCATATTCTATTTATTTTGGCTCTGGTTGGCTAACATTTTAGTTTTGAATAAAAACGACAAGAACCACCAACAATATTGTCACCTTCAAAAGAACTTTAACCTCCAGTTACTGTAGTAATTTAACAATACTTTCCAGGATCACTGCCTGATGGCATATATATGATGGAAATAATGAACTATGTAAAAAATCTAGAGGAATAACACATCTCCAGACCAATGTGTTACCTCATAAGCAATAGGAAGTAAAATGTGATGAAAAACGGCCAAATAATCAGCATCACCCATATGCTTCTGTTGATTAAAAAATGAAACTTTTTCAATAAAAATTTACAAAAAACCTGTTGCTTTTTTTTTTTTTAACCCTGATAGATAATCACTTCATACTCAATACAAAGCTTGGCTATCAAAAGAAAAGACTATTAAAATGTCAAAGATTATTTTTTTAAAATTATGCTTTTCAAAAAATCCTGTTTAAATTCATTTGGTTTAACTTGTGTACACTTTAACTGGCTAAGAAAAAGCACACAATCTCCTCAACTGATTTGCAGTTTTCCCTGGCATCCTTTCAAACAAAGCTATTAATAAAAATTTGAAATATGCTTGGCAGTTGTAATAAAGTGGATTTTGGGTTTATGAAAGTCATCTAAAAACCAGCTCTATTGAAAACAGAACTCTCCTTCATTTACCTCATTCCAAGGTACATTCACAGTATACCCTTTGCCAGGTCCATCGCCGACAACATCAAAATTAGCAGAAGTAGAGAAAGGAAAAAACTGGGCATGATTGTATCGATGAATGGAAAAGTACAAAACACTAGAAATAAACCATAAAGGATATTGATAAACAAATTGAACAACTTTCTTTCTTATCTAATTGGTGTAGCACATAAAATCATGCATTTGAAAAATTATTACACCTTGTTGTCTCAGCTAAGAAGGTATTCACAATGTATTTTCTGTCAGAGCAAAAAACTCAAGAATGAGTTAAGGAGCTAATAACTGCTCTGCTTGCTTCTTAAAAGCAAATGCCAGTGACCACTCCTGATAAAATATCAAGTACCTCTGTCACTAACTGCAGAGTAATCATTATCATAACTAAGGTGAACTGCATGCCAGACTTTGCATTCAATTTAACCTTGTTTAACTTAACTAGCTTTTCCAAAGCTTTCAACTCAACTGCAGCTGTAACCCTTGCTTCCTCATGTAACACTATCTCAGTGAAGCCATTTCAGTGATACAGCACTGTATGTCAATTAGTCAACAGAAACTCAACGATACCTGGGATCAGATTCAAAGAGGTGTTGAGTGCCATTGCCATGGTGAATGTCCCAATCCACAATTAGAACCCTAAAAGTTAAATGATATAATTAATCCTTAAGTTAGCAAGAATTTCTAATTAAAAATTATATTTGTGGCTATTCAAAATAATTCAAAAGTCTATTAGCCTGTACAATGCTATGTTGGAAAATATGCTTATGTGGAGACATTTTAAATCTGATAACAAGTCAGAAAGGCTTAGAGGTGAATCAGTGAAAAGCAGGCATATGTATTGGAATATTCCACAAGATAACAAAGAATGATTGCTTTGTCATTCAACTAGTTGATAACACCTTTAAGTCTGATGGGCTGCTTCACCTTTTATTTAAAAAATTTTCTTTGAATATTCACATAAAATACATCTATGGCTAAACCGCTAATTGATGACAAACATGACAAGGTCTCTGACCACATATTTGAAAAGTACAACATTTTGTTCAATACATATTTATGACAATTCACCCAATCATTGCCTGCATAACACAATAAATTAATTCAACAGCCCACTGCCCAGTTCCTTTTCAATAAATACCTCTGCACATTCCATCTTTGTTGAGCTATTTTTGCAGCAACAGCCACATTGTTGAAAAAGCAGTAACCCATGGCAAACTCAGTGTCAGCATGATGCCCTGGTGGCCTGATGAAATGAAAACAAATATAGAAAGATTTAGGATGAAGAGACTAGAGAAGGAGGGGAGGAGTTTACTGTGTAAACTTTTGGCAGTGACTCATAATTTTACGCAGAAACTACCTCTCAGTAAATAAAAACAAATTGACTTTGATGTTTTAATTGAAATCACTACTAACATTTTGTAGTGGCCAAATAGAGTAATCTCAACCTTTTTAACCCTTAAATTCCCATGATTGACCAAGAGAGAACTACTTCTTATAATATTATAATATCAAGAAGACAAGCGATGCAATTAAAGAAAAAAATCAATTTGGGAATTAATTATAAATGATTGATCCAATACCAAATTCTCCAAACCAAACTAACATCATGAGAATTTCTCCTTACTAACAATATTATTATAATATCAAGGAGACAAGCAATGAGAATAAAGAAAAATATCAACAAGGGAATAAATTATTAATAATTGATCCAATACCAAATTCTCCAAACAAACTAGCATTGTAAGAATTGCAAGACAGACAGTAAGGAGAATTACTAAAACATGATCTCAAGGTCTGATGAGTAGTTGTCTTAGATATTTTCAGTTTCTGCCTCACCACATTTTCTTGTGAATAGAAAGAAGCAATTAAGAGAATATGGACTGTTACATCAATTAAGATAACAACCTAAAGCTGACCTTTTCCATAATTCTCATTGCTTGTTTGCAGGATTGTATATTAAAAGTTTTAGGAGACACAACACATTAATCACTTCCAGAAGTTTTAGGTTTATGCAGCTTCAAAATCAAATTATTATCAATGGAATATATATTAATGTAGATGTAACACCAACCCATACTATAAAATACCTCAACATGAATACCTTACAATAGCCACTGCATTTTGAACCTAATTTAGAGAGAAAAAAAATATTTTTCATGATAACACTGAATGCTAAATAAGACTAAGGTAAAAACTACAAAATAATGGGCCATCAATTCTTTCACCTTGTTTGTTGCAACAGCTTCCACCGCAGATAGAGTGCAACCACATGCAACACGAGCACTTTCACAAGCATGCTGTTAAAAACACAAGTAGACTTCCAATCAAAAGGCATAAATTGGTAAGGGAAAAAAATTTATCTCCAATACATTACCTGCATTGAAAATGATTCCAAAAAATATGAAAGGAGATATTATTTTGTAATTACATACATACTAGATTAACCACATCAGCTGAAGACAACTAGCAGGGTTAAGTGGAAACACTTTGATCCATATCCAGAGTGACCACATTGTGAGACAAATAATAATAATTCTCTTTTGAAAGTGTTTTATTTACCACCATGACAAACCACAACCCTTTTCTTTAAAAATTTTAAACATGTAGTGAAATATCTGGTAAACCAGTCCTCACCTCACTCATGTAGACAGAGTCATAATCACGAGCCCCCATGTTGTACAGTTCCTCTTTTGTCATGGTCTGCGATGATATCATCTTGTTTACATGTTCTTTACTGTCAATGATAATGTACATTATGTAATGATGCATTTTTACAACTTGTTTAATGGATAAGCTCAGAGCTAATTAATCCATTCAATCATAATTGAACCGAGTCAGATTGGAGTGTACAGGCATTCACAAGCACATGCAGTTAACATTTTTTTTTTTGCCGCCAGCAGTTTGCTTGCAGCTAGGATTCTTTTCAAGATTACGCTGCAAGACTAAAAATGTTAACTTTTATTGGAAGCTTTGTTTTGGAACAAAAAAAATTCTGTACTGTAATATTCAATTATCTACTTCATAAAGATAATATTTAATTTATTAGAAATATTACTAGCACTATGGAGATAATAATAGAAATTGTTATCTGATAGTGTACCTGTGTTGACTAAGCAGCTCTTCATCTGTAGCAAGTCGAGACTTGAGAAAATATAATATCAAACATGGTAATTATTATCAAATTTAAAAAATGAGCATGAAGTGACTTGCTTTCTCTGTCACATATGTTAATTGGCACTCCAACATCAAGCTGTAAATTAGTGAGACCATATACTTTATCTACTGTACATATTTATATGATTAAATATAAATCTAACTATTGTTATTTTGTAATCATTTCTAACAGTTCTCAGTTAGTGTTGCTTGCATACTTTGGTTGGAAATATATTATTATCAACAATACAGGAAAGCAAGTGATCCCTTGTCAATGGAGTTGAAAGTCTCTTCAGAGCCAGATTTCAGAAAGGAACTAAAGTCACCTCAGTCTATTAATTAATTAAAAAAAAAAAGGGCAAATTGATCGGAGACTGCAGAAGCAGTTTGAATTATTTCCCTAACTTAGTACTGGCAATAATATCGATAAGTCAATTGATTTACTTACTGGGATTTCCTGACACCTCTCCAGGAGACCATATTCCTTGTGTTTGTCATATGGCCGCTGTATTCTATCAGGAACCTCAGGATGAGTTCTAAAATAAAATGAAATTCAATACCTCATCCTATAATACAGTAGATTGTGAGCAGGTGAATATACTAAGTCAATAAACGCCAGGTGGGTTATGCTACTAGGAGCTATCTATCTTGATTTCAACAGGACAAAATGATTACAAGTAATTTTTACAACCCTGCATAAGATCAGCTAGACTATTCCATGTGTCTAATGGTTACCCCACTGGACTCTGGATCAAAGGCTTTGGTCTAGTTATTCAAACAAGAGGTTGTTGTTCAAAACCGCATCCTAAACAATCCTTAATTTTGCTGAATCTTTTATCTGAACATTTATTTTTGTGAACAGTGTCAAGAGGGCTAAAAGCTAACAGTGGAGGGAAATCTGATAGAGAAAGACTGAAGCCCACTGATTGCATAAAATGAGAGAGAGAGGCCCCCTAAATGCAATAACAGTATCATTCATTAGGCAAAATAATACAACCTATACACACAAAAGAAAAATCAAATTCAATATTGTATCACTTACGCATCCCATTCATTAAAATGCTTTTTCATCCTTTCATCAAACACAATTCCAGTTCTGAAAGAGAGAAGTAATAAAAAAGAGTAATTAGGATTTTAGTGTTTGTATCATGATAATCTATTAAAAATGCTATGGTCAGAGGTTTTGAACTGAAATGTCTGAGTAACAACATGCAGGTTTCCCTTGAAAAAGAACAGTGAATGCTGAAAAAAACAGCACCTGTTCTTGATGGCAGTGAACAATTTTTAAATGAACAGTCTTAGAGTGGATAAAGTAGCTAGGGGTGGTTATATAAATGACTATTTGACTTTTCCATGTACTTAAAGGTACTAAGATCATTTTACTGAAACTCCTGTTGGCCTAAAAAGTTTACTCAATATAGCTAGTAGGAGTCTGTAGCTCAGTCACATACATGATTTGCTACCCAGTTGGCCCATTGTTTAAAAAGAAATGATTCTCACAAATGAGCTGTAATTTAAGAAATTGCAGAAAAGAAGGTTAACCCTAAGAAATTCAGGTTTTGATGTAATTTGGACCTTTAGCTCCCAGATATGTTTTTAATTGGTGGTACTACAGAGTGAGTCATTAATAACATTTTAGAAAGGCTAAAGATAGTTATTGTTCTAAAGAGACTTAAAAACCCCCAAACTTTTTTTTTTTTGAAGACTGGTCATGGCATACTGTGAAGGCATGTTGAGTATCTATATGTTTTATGCAATGCAAGAAGGATTATTTCTGTCAATTCCAACTGGCATTTACTCATTTGGTTTCCAAGAAATGGATAAAGTTTCCTATAAATTTTGGAAGTAATGGCTTATAACTTACCTTTTGGCCATAACAGCTGACTCATTCATTATTTGTAGCTGTGAATTGTAAGAAAAAGATTAGGTATAAAACCTTGAACACAAAATCCTAACTTAAGAACTTCAAACAATATACAATCAATCCTACTTATGACCTTTTAACTCCTAGAAGTGATCAAAATGTAACTTCTCCCTAAAATATCCACACGTTATCCAGCAAACAGGTAATGAGAATACTCAAACTTATCAGATAGAAGTCCTTATCTTGATCTACCAACAAATTCTCCTTACTAATTCACAAGGAAATTAGTTAAGGCATGGTGCAACTGATCTTCTAAGTGGCCAGTTAATTTAGACCGTGTTTGCAACTGTTCTTATTCCAATTTCTCCTAAATTAAAAATTTGTCAAATTAGTTTGATTATTAAATTATTTGTCCCATTCTATGATCAGAATCCGAAACAAAAGAAAACAAAAATAATCCAGGCTAGTATAAAAAGTTTTATACCCATGCATAAATGTCGTAGTTCAATTTTTCACTGTTTGGGCCGAGTAAATATTGAATTTCCAGCCGACTCTAAGGATGTTCGCATGGAACTGATCACAGACCAGACTTACTTTTAGCGTACAATTTGATCTTTTGTAAAACAAATGTAAGTGATACATATACTAGTTATGCTTGTAAGTGTCTAATTAATTCAAGCAAAGTGGGCAGCCCCACAGACAGTGTACTCGGTGAGAGTTAGAACGATCGTGCGAGGTTAAAACCATAAATATGTATCAATTCCCGGTGTCCCCTGTTACCAAGCAGGTAAGTATTATGTCATATTTACTTTCACTCCACCATTTAGCTCAAGGAGAGGCAATTCGGAGAACTTGTGTGTGAAATGAGAAAAAACCTTATACCTTCACCCGTTGATTCAGGAAGCGGAAAAACGCAACCTTTGTAAATTGGAGTTCCCGCCGTGCCGGACAAAAAAACCTTTCGTGGCCTCTCAAAGCACATTAAAGGTTATCAGAGATTGCGTGACGAAAAGTTCCCAGCATCCCCCTTCCTCTCAAATCCAAACGGAGAAATACTTTAATCTTTGAGGACAAGAAATATTATGCCTTTTTTTAAAACCTTTTTCCATTGCAGAAAAAAAGTCCCTTTTTTTCCTTTTTCTTCTCTCACCCAAACCCATCGTTTATTGATTACAGAGAGGTAATTGTTTTATTGAGGCGAGGGGAGGTAAGGAATAACATGTGAGCAGTCAGTACTTTGTCACGAGGATGCGGAAGAAATCGAAAGATGGCGGCCAAACGCGCTAAAGTTGAAGAAGATGAAGACCCTTCAGTTACAGTTTTTAGGGAGTATTTGAGGATAAAAACTGTTCAGCCAAACCCGGACTATGGTGTGTGCATTTTGGAGAAAGGATTATTTCCCTTTTATTCATTGAAATTCATGTGAAATGAACATTGCATAAATTTCTTGAATGGTTCGTACATCATCTTTACTATTTCAGATGGCGCCGTTCTTTTTCTTGAGAGGATTGCTAAGGAACTTGATCTCGCATTTAAATGTGTAAAGGTAGATATGCAGAATTTTCTGGCATGGAATAGTGCTGAATGAATTTCAAGTTAACAAATAATTGACATATCTTTTGATATACCAATGAGAGAACTCTTTCACAAGACAATGGAATTTGCGTCATTACGGTGTGGCTCAGTTTTTTTTCTTTTTAATGCTGTGAATTGAAATCCTCATCGGGGTATTTGGGTGAACGTTGTTTCTGCATGTGAAAACCCATGCCTTTTTAAACACCTAACACTCGGAAAAGGTACCCCAGGATCCATGTTTTATGTTCAAGTAATATAACAGAATATGGCAAAACATAACCCCCTCTCCCTCCTCTTCTAAAAAGGTATTCTTTAAGTCCATCCTTGCTATGACCCCACCAGTAACTTTCCTTTACATCTACCAGCTGAATTTTGATATTTTGATTGATGATGCTCAAAGAGTTTGATGCCAAATCCATAATTAGTTGGTTTATTTTGATTTGATTTTGTTCTTCATTTATCTTATAGAATGCTGAGTCAGGTAAAGTTGTGGCAGTTGTCATTACTTGGAAAGGAAAAGAGCCTGATTTACCATCCATCATGTTAAACAGTCACATAGATGTTGTTCCAGTGTTTCCAGTAAGTTCCCTGACAGACAATTTTAGCGGAGCTCGCAGAGCATAGCCCCATAATTATACAAAATAGTAGTAACCCATCAAGCTGAAAAAATTTGGATGTATGACCATACAACCGTATGACCATACGACAGTACGACCGTACAAGGTGCTACTTTTAACATGCGTAGTCAACTGTACTGCAGGCATGCCAACGCCACAGCTTTGTTCAGTAGTCCAGTGGTCAGTGCACTGGGCTCCAAGCCAGACGACATGGGTTCTAGTCCTGGTCGGGGCAAGGCATTGTGCCCTTGAGATGTGCAGGAAAAAAAAATGCGAGCTCCACTTTTAGGCTTGGCTAAATCTATATATTATAGATTAACTGAGGTACTATATGTAAGCTCTTCTTGGTCTTAAGGCATATTGAGAAGAGTCTGTGATTTAATATCACCTTTCCTAGTGATTGCAAAGTTTTGTCTAGGTGAGCAAGTGCTCAGTTTGTTCCAGGTGAAAATTTTTGCAGCTGTCTTTGATTTTTATGGCAGGGAAGGCTGGGGAGAGAAATGAATTTGTATCAAGGGGTAAATGATGGTCAAAAGGAAAGAGAGGGGATAGGGAAGGGCCTTTTTCCCTGCCCCCTGCCCCCTGCCCCCTGCTTCCCATCACCCATTCTAACTCTAAATCAAACATGGCCGGTCAAATAAACAATTACGAGCTTGTGATGTGGTAATGCCTGCATTGCAGACCTTATTCTTAGAGGTGCGATATACTAAATGCGAATAACTAACTGGTACATATTCTTGTAATTGGCAGAAGAAATAGGAAAAGTAATGAAAGGGGCCAGAACTCACCACTTTCAGTAAATTTATCATTTTATTTATCTTATCACAGGAACACTGGACATACGATCCCTTCTCTGCCCACAAGACTGAAAATGGTGATATTTTTGCCCGTGGAAGTCAGGTTTGGAATCATGGTTTGTTGTTAATGCATAACTAAAATGATCTACAGTAATTATAATTGTGTTATATAAAACAAGTAAAAACTCAATTTTGTCTTCTCTTTTTTCCCAGGATATGAAATGTGTTGGCATCCAGTAAGTAAATGAAAATTGTTTGTGTACATTGTTTGATTGTTGTATCTTACCTGAGAAGTGAGTGAATACAGTTAAACCTGTATCAAGTGACACTGCATTACATGATCACCCTGTATTAAGCAATCACTTTCCAAGGTCACAAATTTTTCAACCCTTTATTACAATAAGTGTAACTTTCACATCTATTAAGTGGTTATGGTTGCCCTTTCCTGAGTTTCAATGGCCGATCATAATAATAATTATGATGATCACAATAATTGTCTTTCACCAGTATTGAATGGTCACTTTGGAAACATCCAAATAAAACTAAGAATCATCTTTCAAGTAACATTTCATCTATGTTTATCTCCCAAAATCAATGTTAATAGTATTTTCTAGCAAGTTTTTGTTCACTAAGTGGTCAATCAGGGCATAAAATGGTTTTTTTTCATGGTTTTATTATGATACCCCAACTCTGTGGAACCTGTTTTTTGGGTCAATCTATACTAATACTAGTCTACTACTATCTATACTATACTAATGGACTGTGATATGCTGCTAATACCAAAATAAACCATGCATTTTGGTTATAGCAGAGATTATTTTTTTGAGATGAGTATTATGTGACAAGTGTGCCAAGAATTGACTTTCATGTTGTAGAAGTGAGGTTTAAAGAGACCTTAACCCTTTAACTCTCAAGATCTGATTGTCAATTCTCCCCTCTAGTTGCTACACATTTCCTTGTAAATTGGTTACGAGAATTTGGTGTTTGATCAAGGTAATATCCTGTTCCTGATAAGTTTGAGTATTCTCACAACCTGTTTCCCCAGATAATGTATGGATACTATAGGAAGAAGTTACATGTCAATCACTTCTGGGAGTTAAAGGGTTAACACAAAATGGACATCACCATAATCAAACAATCATTAAGTCACAGGCTTCTTAATTTAAAGAAGCCTTCCACGTAATCAGATACCTATTTGTTTGTGTGTTTGTTTGTTTTTTAAAAATAGGTACATTGAAGCAATAAGAAAGCTCCAATCACAGCAGTTTACCCCACGTAGAACAATTCATGTCACATTTGTTCCAGGTAAATCCTTTTTTTTTATTTCCATTACACACTTTTTATTAAAGCAAGTGATGAATCTGTATAACATTTTAAAAATTTACTCTTTTTTCCCTCACTTTTGCTTTGCTAATTATTTAGATGAGGAGATTGGTGGAGTAGATGGAATGGAAAAATTTGTGGAAATGGATGATTTTAAATCTCTCAATGTTGGTTTTGCTTTGGATGAAGGTATGCAAAATCCAGTTATTGTTTAATATCTTTGCTTCAGTAGCTGCATGCTGTAGAATTTTAATAATTTCCATTTTGTAATCTAGTTATTTGATTTTGCTCTTAGGGCTTGCAAACCCAACAGATGCATTCACAGTATTTTATGGGGAAAGATCTGTTTGGTGTAAGTGTCTTTTCTATTTGTAATTGTATATTTATGGTGTAGTAGTGATAATGACACATAGTTATCCACTGAAATAATTTAATAAATAAATTAAATATGTGAAAGTAATTATCATGACTTTTATTTAATGATCGAATAAAAGTCCTGACAGTTTGCTTACATTGGATTTTCCCAGAAGGTAGTATCTTATCCCATCCAGTCTGCATTGCAGTCTTATCATTTAAGCTGAGTGGAAGTCAGAGGAAGAAAAGGGGTGAATGCAAACCAAAGATTTAGAGAAGAGGAGTGAAGAACAGTGTACTATAGAATATCTGAGCTCAGCAGGAGACTCTTGCTTCCCTTTTGTCTTCTTAATTATGTTGGTTTTAGTGCATGTCTTTGCATTACTGCATGTCAGTGATTACCAAAAGGCTCTAGCCTCTCCTGTTGGCTAAAATAGAAATGAATAAACAAATAAAGAATGCTATGCAAGCCAATTTCATCCTGAATCAAGCACACTCCAGACTAAACACTCACACTCACTGTATAACTTTTCATTTTCAGCACAGATAATAATGATTACTTAATATTGAATAATTAATTTTGTTACACAAAACAGGGTTGAAAGTTATTTGCAAAGGTCCTCCTGGTCATGGTTCCAGATTTGTGGAGGACACAGTTGGAGAAAAGATGGTGAGTCTTTTAATTGAGAAGAAATGATTCTAAAGGAAAGGTTTCATTTATCCTATTGGATATTTCCTTTTTGATTGCATCCCAGCCTGCTTAGTATGTAAATGAGCATCCAGTTATCGATTGTCATCCTCTTTGCACACAGGCTGGTACTCCAACCTTGAAAATTTGAATAAATTTTACAATGCAATGAATATTCTCTACTTTTAATTTTAGGACTTTTAATTATTGGTGTCTTGCTTGTTTTTGTTGTATTCATTTACTTTTGGATTTCTGATAACAGTAGCTTCAAGAAATCAAACCAAACAACTGAACCCATAAATTACATTTGGGTTTCTATTTTGAATTACAGTGCAAGATTGTACAGTCCTTTATGTCTTTCAGAGAAGAACAGAAGAAAAGGTATGAAAATTCAAATCTCACCCAGATATCAACTTAATTAGTAAGCAAGCATTTTATTTATTACTAATTGCTTTTGTGTTTCAAATGGAGGTGGCCTCCATTTACCATTTGTGACTGATTAAGAACTATCCTTAAAAAATGCCTATAAGTAGTGTCCCTCGATGATCTTAGTATCAAAAAACAGATGTATTAGGGATGTTTAACCCTTAACTCTCAGATCAAATTTGTAATTCTCCTAAATGTCAACCATACAATTTTTATAATGTTAGTTCAGAGAAGTTGGTATTGGATCAACTTATTATCTCCAAATTGATATTTTTCTTTATTCTTATCACTTATCTAATTGACATTGTATTGATATTGTAAGGAGAAATTCTGTCTTGGTCACTCATGGGAGTTGAAGGGTTAAACTGAGGTGTGAGTATGGTGTAACTTTTCAATACATTGTCACCTCTGGGAGAAGTATTCATTAAACACTGAAAATTTTGCTTCATTACTACTTGGTATTCAAATTTTGCATGCTTGACATCATGTAATAGTTTCAAATGATGATCTAAGTTAATTGTTTACCTGAGTTAGTTGTCTGGGGAGTTGAAAGTGAGTTAAAACTATCTAAAATTTGCTCAGGTTGAACTCCAATCCTGATCTGAAGCTTGGTGATGTAACTACAGTGAACTGGACAATCACTGAGGTGAGTGTTTTGGACCTTCTCTTTTTTTTTTTTTTCTAATTTTGGAGGGGAGCTGCGTAGCAATATTGTTGTTTCTTCATTTTCAAGAAGGGGGGAGGGGGTTAGGAATTCTAAATTTAAATTAAAAGTTTACCAGGGTGGAGAGGCACCAGAGTGGCAAGAATGAACCAAAAAAAGAGAGAAGACTGGAGTAGTTTTGCACAACTTTCCTAGAATGTGGCCGATTTATCCCCCTCCTTATTCTTGCTGTTGGCATGCACATCTATTTGTTGTTTATTTAAGTAACTTGATTTCCCTGCAATGTGGTAATATCAGTTGGAAATTACAATAAGCAAAATGTGTGCATTGCTTTTTCAAGGGTGGAGTGCAAGCTAACGTCATTCCAGCAGAAATGTCTGCAGGTAAAGTCGAACTAACCCTCAACACAGTGATAAGCATCTAATTTCTCTCAACAGTACCACTCCTTTACTGGTAATCAAACATTAAGTCCATGAGAATAAAAGATATGATCAAAATCCCAAGAAGGTCTTGATTGTTAGACAAATTCTCCCAAGTAGTACCATAGGAAATCTGTAGAGGACAGTTGGGAGAACTTGCATACTGATGTAAGGGTGTAAAGGGTTAATGAATCACTCGAAATGTCAGCTTTGAAACTCTTTATGGTGGCCAATTTACGTTATCAACTCAGTTGATAATACTAAATTACCCTGAAATAAACCTGTGTCTGGATCACATAAATTTTCCTTCCCTCAAAGCTGACAACTTTGAGTTCTCACCTCCTATGAGACATGGCATGAATAATCTCTTTCAATTAAGCCCCGTTTTGAACAAGTTTATTGTATTAATGTCCAATTTTTGTCTTCCTCTACCAGTGTTTGACATCAGAATCACCCCAACA